CACCAGGACATTTGACACACCACGGATGTAAACTGCACGGAAAACTAAACCTTGAGAAACTAGCAGATGAGTCACTCGAAGAGAATAGCCTCAAGGAGCCAAGGATCGACGGGAATCCCCACAGTTCAGACAATGAATCATCTGAGCACAGTCCGACAGGAGCCTGACCATAGAGCCCTGAGCGACCCGAATCCCCAGTAGCGAAGGCCAGACCACCACAAACTTTTGCACCTCACTGTGAACCCTATGGAAGGACAGAACCCATCGCACCAGGCTAGTCTAATGAGCATGGGTCACTAAACCCCAGCCGAGAAACAAGGCATTCGGGAACACATCGAGCGAGGGCTTGGGGAGGCGCCCCAAGCACCAAACCCCCAAAATCCCAAAGAGGAAGCCGGCGATGCAGCAACCAACACAAGGCCCACTGGGTTCAAACCCAGCGGTCACGAGAGAGAGACAGACAAGAATCCCCCCCGAAAGAACTAGAACAGGCACTGAAGCCCAACCCGATGGGTAAACCAGCACAGCGAAGTGCAGACTCCCTGCCCTGCTCGAGCTACCTCCAAGTGACCAGGGACCACCCCCTCCCCCTTTCCCCAAGAACAGCGGAAGGTGAGATTGCAGCCGCCACAATGCCGCAGGAGGGAGGGGACACAGAAGCGGCCTGATAGACCCACACAAGGCTCAGCCAGGTTCGAACCCAGGACAGAACCAGATGGGATTTTTCCCAGTTTATCAGGAACCCAAACCTGGTGAGCTGGGAAAGAACCACCCCTCTGGCGAGCAGACAAGCAGACTGGCTGGAAGCCTACACCAACTAGTCTTCAAGGTAAGCCAAAAGGGAGGCAACGAAAACAAGAAGCACGCCGCCCCACCACGAAACCTAACCAGTCCCTTAAACTGGATGAAGTGGGATGCACCAATACGCATCCCAGAGGGCCAGAAACACCCTCCACCAACTCTGGCTCCAAAAGAGTCCTGATCTGGGACAGAGGTGTCATCCAAAAGGAGGGGCAAGGAATCCAGCGGTGCAGATGGGACCAGTCCAGAAGAATTGAAGATCCGCACAGTCCCATGATGACACCGGAACAAGCAAGAAACCCACCTGAGGGATGGGGTCGTTCCGATCCCGCCCAAGCGCACCCACTTCAATATGACCCGACAGGGTGACCCCACGAAGGGGCCAATGCCCCCTCCAAGAATCCGACCAGCGAGCAGAGCGAGCAATACACTGACCAGGGGAAAATGCCCCAGAGAAAGCACCAAGGGCGGGGCAACTGCCGAGCAGCATGATCCCCTATAGAAGTGTAGCCAGAGAGCACCAGGGAAGGTAACCCTTGAACCCAAGGGTAACACTCACAAGGGGGCTTAGGAAAGGCAGCCCTAACCCTCAAACTGCTAGGGGCCCAAATGGAATTCACACCCACAGGCGCAACAAAAGAAAAAAAAATCCAAAAAATTCTTTCGTCTTATAGAAGTGTTCATTTTTGTTCCCTGATCACGGAAAAAAATAACAAAAAAATCGTAGGTGGCATATTTTAGCCGGAATAGGGTAGGGAAGTGTGGCAAAAAAGGGGCGTTGGCAGAGCCTTCGCCAGACGAGGTCTACTCCGCCCGAGCTGTCAGACGGCAGTTGCCACAAATATATTATTACCTAATTATTTCAATGTCTCTGATTAATTTTTTCTTAGTTTTTTTGCAGTAATATTATTCCATACAGTGAATTGCGGTATATTTATATTATAAAATGTGTGAACCATCGCTGTACTCAAAATTATGGTGTGCATATTAGTGATTCAATTATTATGTTCATAAAACAATAAACAAATAGTTTTGCTGTTGTTACACTATATACACAGGTTATATATAAGTATCTGCATGTTTTGTACACCATAATGAACTACTAAGTTGGTCTTGCGAGTCAAAAAGCAACGAGGAGTGACCTCCAAACACCAGCGAGCCACTCACTGCCACTCCCTCCCTCAACACCACCTCACTCACCCTCATTCACCTCCCACAATACTGTTTTTGTATTTATTCACTATACACAGACGTTATATATACGTATTTACATGTTTTGTTCACCATAACTGTACATCTAAGCTTGTATGGTGAGTAAAGGCCATAAGACGTAGCTACTCACACAGTCAGCTGATCGGCGGCCGCCTAATATTTGTCCTCCAACAATATTGTTTGTGGTGTTATTACGCTATATACACACATTATATATAAGTATCTACCTGTTTTATTCACCATACCTGTACAAATAAGCTGGTATGGTGCCCAAAGACTATAGTGGCCATCAGTAAACACCATGCCAAGTCGTGCAGACGACGCTCCTCCCTCACCAAAATGGCGGCTCCCAACCTTCTCCTCTCACTGTTATCTCACACTATACACACGTTATATATAAGTATCTACATTTGTGTTCACCATAGCGAACCACTAAGCTGTATGGTGAGTGCAGTCAATAAATGGTGGCCACACACAGTCAGAAGACGACGCCACAACCCTCCCTCCCACAGCCTTACTCCTCCCTTCATGGAGCACAGCGCTAAATATCACCACATTCCTGCAATTATCAGAATCCTGGTCAGTTTTATCACAGTCAGGGAGCTTCAGTAATACTATCACTGCTAAATAATAGCAGTATCATTTATATTATGGTATTTGTAGGCGATGCTGTGGTCACAAGCTGAACAACGGTGCTGTGAGCTCGTGCTGCGTGCGCCAGCCTTGGTGGCTTGCTCAATATTGACGCTGTAACACCCAAGAATGTTGGCCTGGGGTTTTTTCTAGGTGGCATCTGGCAACTATCGGTCGTGGCTGTACTATAGCTGCCCCTATCCCAGGCGGGGCGTTTAAATTATAGCGCTAGACACGAAATCATATATAAATGATGTGCGCGGTTTCGGTTTTGTTACTGATATCATTTATATATGATATGCGCGGTTTGAGGGCTAAGCACATGCAGCCCTCAGTACAGTATATTACTCTTGGCCAACAAGCCACAAACAGTAAGAAACACCATAAGGGCACAAAATCCAGTAAATTCTGAGGCCAGAGTCATCATCTGCCCCAGATGTGCTTCAGCCACGAACTGAGATGTGAGGCCGGTGTGTGGGTCAGGGACTTCCTCACCCCCCCCCCCCTCCTCCTCCCAGGGAGAGGAAGCCTGCGCAGAGGCGATGAATGACCGCCACCGCGGTCAACAGCAAACAATTGCTTGTTTGCTGGTTTCCTTTACTTTCTTTTGGGAAGTTCTATTTCTCTGTTCGGTCTTGGGTTTTTACAATTTCTACCATGTGGGGTTTGTTTTGAAATGCCTACCTTTCTGGGTGCCTAACTCCGGTCGATGACAGACAAGGAATACCCCCAAATACAAGGGATCTCTTTAAGCCATTGCTCCCTGTGCCTCTCTGAGGGGGGCCAGGTTCCAGCTCTGGTCCCTGGTAGGCAGGACTCCATTGACAGAAGCCCCTGATTAATATAGCATATATCAGTCCTACAGCTCCAGGGAGCTAACAAAAAACTACATAATGAACTCCTTTTAAATTTACCATGTTTTTCTTTGAAAGGCATCAGCACAGAAGTAACCAATATATTGCTACAGGTAAAGAAATATTCATAAAGGAATGTCCATTCCCCATGACTGGCCATTATTTCCAGAAAATGAAGATGTCTTTAGTAGATCAGCTAGCTTTCTTCATTGCTGTAATAATAATAGGATTATACAAGTAGCATAGGCAGGTAGCACAATGTTCCTAGAAACAGCTCAAATATTGCAGGTTGAAGAACACATTGGTGAAGATGTCAGCAAACAAAGTGAATCCAAAAATAAAACTTAAATGTCATTAATACATTCTTAAAGTGCAACTGCTCACCTTAATTTGTTTTTCATCATACTATCAATCAGTTTCAAAACTGATCATATGGTCATTTACATTCACATCAAAATGTCTTGTCTTGCAAAAATTTTCAACCTTTCATGAAAATCATGTTGCTCCAAAAAACCAGCGTTGAATGTAATGAAACACCATTTTCTGGGTGAGACCTGGAGACTGCCCGGAGTTCATCCAGGCTGATATGCTAATGTCCGACTTTGGCATCAGTCATGTGTATGTAGTTCTGTGGGCCTACTTGGGGACCACGAGCCAGAACCCGGCCCCCTCAGAGAGGCATGGGAAGCAATGGCCTATAGAAACCCCCCCGTGTGGTTGGAAGCATTCTATGTCTGCCATCGACCAGGTCAGGCACCCAGAAAGGTAAGCATCCCAAAACAAATGCTGTAGAATAACTCCTGGCTCTCACACCCCTGAAAGACAGCCACCACACTCTAAGCAGTGCTGAAAATCACTGGAGCCAGAGCACACAACCTCTGCCTCTAGCATCAGCCATAGAACTGAAGCACGGATAGCCGGCACGAGGGTCTGGGGTTCCCCTTTCCCCCTCCCGGGGAGGGGGTAGCTGTGCAGACAGCGGCACGGCAACGTGTGACGTCATGCTCGTTTGCTCGTTTCTTTTTGGGGAGTTCTATCCACTTATTCGTTTTTTGTTGGCAATTTTCACCATGATAGGGGTTTGTTTTAGGACGCTTACCTTTCTGGGTGCCTGACCTAGTCAAGGGCAGACATAGAATGCTTCCAACCACACAGGGGGTTTCTATTGGCCATTGCTTCCGATGCCTCTCTGAGGGGGGCCAGGTTCTGGCTCGTGGTTCCCGGTAGGCCCACAGAACTCCACACACATAAAACTGATGCCAAAGTCTGACATTAACATATCAGCCTGGATAAGCTCCGGAAAGCCAACGGGGCTCCCCCCAGAAAATAAAACCAATTTTGCTGTAATATATTTGTAAACAACTTGGGGCATTTTTATCAAGATTGATGAAAAATTTGAATCCACTTAATTTCATCCATTCCTTTTCATTGACTTTACAACTTACTACTGTCCAATGTAAAAGAATTGAAAAGACTGAAGACACTGAAATCATACAGCACCTGAACATTCATGGGAGTGTGGAGTGTACGAGATGCTGATCGAAGGAATCGGTACACAAGATCTGTTTGTTTCTCTTCATCACAGCCAATCATGAGTCTTCTCTGAACATGTTGCAAGTATACCGAGAATGCCATGCGAGCCTGGTATTTGCTGCAATGGAAGAAAACACGAGGGATTTTAATTTGATCATTCACATACACCATGAATGATACCAATAGGTAAAAAATGTCATCTTGTATTATAAAACCAAATTGATATCTTACTATAAGCAAAGGTTCCTTACTCAATAACCTACTCGGTACCCTACTGTGAACATGAGCTCTCTACTCAGTACCCTACTGTGAACATGAGCTCTCTACTCAGTACCCTACTGTGAACATGAGCTCTCTACTCAGTACCCTACTGTGAACATGAGCTCTCTACTCAGTACCCTACTGTGAACATGAGCTCTCTACTCAGTACCCTACTGTGAACATGAGCTCTCTACTCAGTACCCTACTGTGAACATGAGCTCTCTACTCAGTACCCTACTGTGAACATGAGCTCTCTACTCAGTACCCTACTGTGAACATGAGCTCTCTACTCAGTACCCTACTGTGAACATGAGCTCTCTACTCAGTACCCTACTGTGAACATGAGCTCTCTACTCAGTACCCTACTGTGAACATGAGCTCTCTACTCAGTACCCTACTGTGAACATGAGCTCTCTACTCAGTACACTACTGTGAACATGAGCCCTTTCATTAGTACTTTACTGTGCATAAGAGCTCTGTACTTAGTACCATCTTTGAGTAAAAGGATTCAGGAAAACTAATTAAAGTGTTACCGACTCATTTTGCCTCTTAACCCTTAAACTGCATAAGGTGGGTATAATTAGAAAAATATTTGAATTATGTAAAAATTACTTAAAAATGTTAAACAAATCTCCAACTTATTGGCTTCAGTGTCATGAAACTTTCATCAAAATATTTTCAGAAATTGATTTTAGACGAATATTTTAAATAAACAAACGTTTTGTTGATAAAGAGAACAGCTCCTATTAACTGGAACTGATGGATAATGCAATAATAAAGAGATGCAAGCACCTGTCCGACACACAAAGAAGAAGAATAGTAGTAAGACGTGTCTACAAAGTGGATATGCAGCTGGTGCCTTTATAGCATTGGTGAGTAATACATAATAACAAATAATAATGAGTATGTTATTATGCTCTATTTTGTTATATATCATAAAAACTTTGCCCAATGTTATTATCAGTTACTTTCAACAATGTTCAATTTTTTTTTTTTTTGGGGGGGGGGGATTAGTTTTTTTTCAGGTTTTAGGTTTTTACCTCCTATGTTTATTATTTGAATTTGTTGTAACCTTTATATCCTGGAGAATGCATACCCGTCCCTCACTATGTAAAGACAGAATTAAATTGGTCAACAAATAAATCGCTCATAACTCTCAGAACTTGGGACTGAATTTTATTTTTGCCTGATTTTTTCACAGATTTCAAACTCTACTTTCCTTGTTTGTTTAGGTTGTTCTGATGATTAGGGACCAGATTAGGGCTTTTTTACTTATATAAAGTATACCCTAAATATATCCCCTAAATAATAATGATTATTATAATTATTCCTATATTTATTTATTTTTTTAGGGGGGTATGTTTTCTTGACTTCATTTCAACACATAGTGACCTACAACGTTTACATATTTGAGTACAAATGCCAAACAATGTTTATTACAACAGACAAGTAAATTCATGAATTAAAACAGCCTTATTCATTGTTGGTAACTTCAGCTTCAATTATACCTACTGTATACAGTAACTAGAATTTCAACTTTCTTCAGCATCCAAAATTCTAGTTTCTGACCGATTCTCGTCATTTTTACATATAGTGTGCACAGCTGTCTGTTCTACAATCCCTATAGAATTGATTTTTCATAAACTCTAAATGTTTGGAGTTATAAATTTTTATCTAAATTTGCGCATATTTCAAATGCCATATTGACAAATATTTTTTTACAGTAAACTATACAGAAAACCTATCTTCTAAATATAGGAAATGAAGATCATGTGCTATTCTGAGGGCATAACACCAAATGAACAATTGGTGATATTTTATATTTTTGCAGCTGATTTCAAAATCTGAAGTTTTCAATGTTCAAGTTGATAATTATTTTTTTACTTTCTTGTTTTTCAAGTTACACTGGTATCATTTAGACAAAGTTGGAGCATTTGCCTAGTAGATCATGCACAAAACATTTGAAAGTTTCAGAAAATGTTAAAAACTGAGCTCAATGCCACACATTGTATGACTTTTGCGCAGTTTAAGGGTTAAGCCCCAAGCAAATTTCCTACTGCATTTATAATACTGTACATTATAATACGTTATTTATAACACATTATAAATAATGTAATCTTACCTGAGAGCAAGTCCATTTTCTAGAGCTTTCATGACACTGGCTTTTACTTGCTTCATATCTCGGCAAATTGACTTATCATCTTTCTTACTGGACCCTTCCATGAAAGAGAAATTATCAGATGGTATTACAATATTTTCTATTTCAGATTTTTAACTTATTAAATTGTTAAAAATCTAGCCCAAAAGCTAAGATTTCATATAATACACATTAATAATTTTTTGAGGTAACATTTATACATACACCTAAATACAGTACTGTGTTGTATGAACATTAGAATACTCAAGAAGTACCTTCAACATTACTGAATCTTAACAAAATAATTGTTATAATCAAAGTTATACTCTACTGTATTACCTCATAGTCATTAAGTGATATTCTTCAGTAAAACTTAGACCATTTCTGCTATGGACCATATGATAAATCAGGATGAATATATTCTTGTTTCTCAGTGCACACTTTTATAATACTGTACAGTGCTTGCTTGGAAATCTAGACCAATTGAGACTGGATCTAATCCTGACCTCATGATAGCTGAATGTGGCTCTGAATTTTACAACATATCTTTGATTTTTTAAATGATGTGTGACGATAATCTCTTTCAAGAGAGATTGAGCCTGCTCTTCCCTACATCATTATGTCGTTAAGTACAAGATACTATATAGAAGATACGTCCACCAGTATCGCCAAACGTTTTGCCCAGGAAGCAAATCGCACCATGCACACCCCGACACCTGCTACAGCCGCAGTAACCAGCAAACTGCTCATCCTCTGCCTGCCTGTTGCTGATTGGCTGATGTCTCGCCGCACCTGCACTCCACCACCACCGAGAGTCGACGTCTGGGCAGCAGCACGCCGTACTCGTCAGAATATCTCAGTGCTCCATGGAGTTGACATCTCTCGCTGGTAGACTAAGCCTTGGCTTTCGTGTACTAAGGGAGGTGGCAGCTTGAAGCCAGTATTCCAGCACCTCATATTTTATTTATATTGCTATCACTATAACTTACTTGTCTTAGAGTAACCTTTCATTGCCAGTGATTATTCATGTTGTTTTGTTTGTTGACTTGTCCTGCATTTTATGAGATTGCCTTTATTCATGTCTTGTTTTCTAGAGTAATTAAAATTTCATTGTTTATATACTTGTGTTTTGTGTGTCTTCCCATTACCTTACCACAGACGAAAGGACAAACTTTTCTCTTTTTTTTTGTGAAATGACGAGGCCCTGCCCCCAGCTTTTGAAACAGCCGAACACCAACGCTTTACCGTCACAGATGGAACTAATATTAACACACATGTTAATAACAAAATCACAGAGAAGAAATATTTCGAACAATAAAACAAAAATAAAGCTTGGAGTAATACAAAAAACCAGCGTTGAATGTAATGAAACGCCATTTTCTGGGCGAGTCCCGGAGGCTCCCCAGAGCTATCCATGACTGATATGGAAACCCTAACTATTTTGCATCAGTCGATGTGGGTGGAGTTCTAGCTTACCGGGGACCACAAGCCAGAACTTGGCCCCCTCACAGAGGCACGGGGAGCAATGGCCCATAGAAATGCACATGTGATTAAGAGCATTCTATATCTGCCATCGACCGGAACAGGCACCCAGAAAGGTAAGTGCCACAAAACAAACCCCATATTCTGTTTACCTTTGGGGTCTCCTGCAGTTTTTATTTCCTCTTCAGATTATTTTGGATTCCATTTTGAGGTGATCCACAGGACGTGTGTTCAAAATTTTTACCAATACCTCTTACGTCAGTTGGAGCTTTACCTCCAATGATCACCATTCAGAGCAGGGTTGGTGGCCTCCAGTGTGCTCACAACAATATTTGAAGGACATGAGCAGAGTAGATAATGTTTCAGGCCTTCTCTCTGCATGAACAGTGATCCAGTAAACGGCCTTATCCAGGGAAGTTCGAACTGGTCTCTCGGTTGGGTCTCTCCCATTATGACAAACACTTATCATAGTCTGTATTCTAACTTCTTAGGGTTTGGTCTATAAAGCGAGTCACATTCAGAGTTTCTTAAATGCTTTAATAGACAATTTCCTATTTTTGTTGAACTAGAAAGTCATAGGCTATATAAGAGTGCTTGGCAGTCCTCAAGTAGACTGTTTTACTTTTGCTCAAAATCACAAGCTCCATATTCTGAGCCACTGGATGCTCTGTGCCTGGACAGAAAGAGATGGGACATTATTTACCCCTATTTCTTCCAATCCAGCTGCTGGTTCCTCAAGTTGAAGAATTTAATGTTCAGTGTCATTTTGCTGGTTTTCATGTGGCGAGTTCTGCCCTAAATTCTAGGGGCCAGATTCACAAAGCAATTACGCAAGCACTTACGAACCTGTAAAACTTTTCTTAATCTTTGGCGCTTTGTTTATATTATTAAACAGTTAATGAACTCCGAAGCATGAGGAGGCTGTTTATAACAAGAACAACAGTTGATTGGGAAGTTTTCATGCTTGAAAACTGTTTAATAAATGTAACCAAAGGCATCAAATATTGAGGAAAGATGTACACGTTCGTAAGTACTTGCATAACTGCTTCATGAATCTGGCCCCAGGCCTCCTCTTATGCCACCCTTACCAGTTCTGGTCCCCCGAATCCCTGAATTTTGGTTCTTCAAGCAGATTAGTCGTTCACTGCATTAGGTCTCAATGCATGTACATGCTTGTCGTTGCATTAGAAATAAAAGGAAATAATAATTTTTTTAAGATGCTATAATCTTAAGGATTTTCAAGCCGATAGATAACCCTTTTTTTTATTAAATTATTCAATATCCTCATGCAATGCATAGCTTTGCTACTCATATTTATAGCATGTGTATGTGATGGTATGAACAGCAGATCACTTTAGAATAGACTAACTTGTATGGGCATTAAATAATGTTATTCTGCTTTGATCATTCTTGGTTTACCAAAATGTTGAGTATATCATGGATTTGACAACATGTACAGTACTCTCCTCCAACATTTTACACCAATTTCTCAACATCTTATACCTATGTACTATATTTGTGTAAATAAATATCGTTATTATTACTTATTGCTGTAGTGAGGTGTTGTAGCCTACCCAAGTTTTTCTTGTTCTTGAAGAAAGCAAGACCTTTGGGTAAAGCGCGCTCGTAGCAGGTGAGACGTTCCAGGGAGGAGGCCAGCCCACTACTAGACACACCTGACATTCGACTGGGTGTCACTCTGCCATATCTGTGCATTGATATGGCACCACCACAAGGTTAGAGGTTTAATTGGGTTAGAAATTATAATACAACAGAAATTACAATTGCCAAATCAACAGATAAGGAATATTATTCACTACAAATAATTCACAAGGTATCAAGATATTTTGCTAATTGTGATGAAAATCCTAAAATCTGGAGACATACAGAACATGAACTTTGAAATTAACTACAGGTCACTATTGACCTACCCCAGTTATTATTTACCCTGCACCTGCCTTCCTGCCCATCATTATTTACCCTCCACCTGCCTCTCTACCCATCATTATTTACCCTACACCTGCCTTCTTGCCCATCATTGTTTACCCTCCACCTGCCTTCCTGCGCATCATTATTTACCCTCCACCTGCCTCCCAGCCCATCATTATTTACCCTCCACCTGCCTCCCAGCCCATCATTATTTACCCTCCATCTGCCTTCCTGCACATCACATTCCTTCTCATACATCACATTCTCCTCTCCCTCACACTCATACATCACACTCACCCCTCCCTCACTCATACAGCACATTTTTCTCTCCCTCACACTCAGACATCATGCTAAACATTTCCCCTCCCCCAAAACTATAACATTGTACACTGCACCAACTCATTATGTATATTACAAACAAAAATGAAGAACCTAAATAAATTGGCAAATTGTGTATTATATACATGACACATGCATATGTGGCAAGTTGTACTACACTTCAAATTATAATCAGATTAGTGTATCATTTTTAATACGAGTTAAATATTCAGAAGAGTGAAGAGGGAACAACAAACATTAACTTGCATGTTAACGAAAGTTTTCGAAGATTGCATCATGCTGCAGTAATAGCGTTTTACAACAATAAGAAATTACCTGTTGGTGCGAGGAATTTGTGGGTACAGATGATAATGAAGAATCAAGTTGAGCGGACTTTCATATTCCTGTAGACCTCCGTAAAGTGACCAAGAGTCTGGTGTGGGATATATACGGGCCCATCCCCCCTTTCGTTCGTATTCTTCGCGAACTTGCCGAACAATACGCAGCTCCTCAGCAGTGGGAACAATTGGACCTCCACGTACATACTGACTTCGATCATAGGAATCTGTTGAATAACGCTGGAACACAAAATTTACTTTTTTCAGTTTATTATAAAACAATTTTATTAAATTTATTTAACTGTTAACAAAACAAATATTCAAACCCTACTTATTGTACTATAAAGTGCAATACATTATATTTTTATTTACCCGTGATACAATATAACATGAAAAATGATTACATGAATATTGTTCATAGTTTTTATACAACCACTAAAAAAAAAAAAAATCCAACATTGAGTGAATATGATAAGCTGCTTTTTGAGTAGATCACTTCATTGTGTCTTTATGCAAGATGCATCGTGTTCAGAGGACAGGACTATGCAATTAGGCAGAACAATATATCATAATAGCACTGGCACCACTGTACAGTGTGATCAGCTCTGCCCTACCACCTACTTGCCTCAGTATTCACCTGCCCTACTCTCATGCTAGCTATATATTTACATAGCCTACCCATCATTCTGCCCCCCACCCTCCAGCCAGCTTCCCCGCTTATTTTTCTGGGAACTCAACAGCCAGCATACTTGCAGCCACTCTCCAGCAAAATTGCTCACAAGTGAGAAATAATCTACTAAAAGAAGTAGATAAATCAAAACTCCCATTAATCACCCTTTAAACAATAATAATAGAGCTAAACTACTGGACATGTAAAGTGAATTTATATATTTACATTGAAGTTTGGAAAGTAAATTACTACAAGCCATCTCCAGGCAGGAGAAATTAAACCTGCTGGTTTAATTTCTCTTAATTTCTCTTAATTTCTTAATTTAATTTAATTACCAGCTGGTAATTAATTGAAATTAATTACCTGCTGGTAATTTTTTAATGAGTGTAAATCTCACTCTCTTGCGTGCACACTAGTTCTCACGCACATTTAAACTAACTAAACAAAGCTACCAAGAAATATAAGAAAATTCACTTTTGCAAACTGTGGTAGACGATCGGAATAAGTTAAATGAGGTGGTGGTGATCAAAATCGTCAGTAGTTTCAAAACTATATATGACAGAGTACTGAAAAGACAGGACACCACAAACATAGCTCTCATCCTGTAAATACACTTGGGTAATTACACTACAGAGCCTAAGAGATATTGTACTACAGGAAATAGATGGTTGAGCTGACTGGGTATATCTGGACCTTAAAAAGGTTTATGACAAGCTACAAACAGAAGTTAGAGGCGTTAAATATACCAAACTAGACGATTGAAGAATAAGAAGTGATTACTACGTACAAAATAGTAACAACAACAAAATTGGCAAAACTTTGAAAACTTGCAACTTCAAGAACAAGAGGACATAGGTTCAACCTAAGGAAACAAAGCTGCTGAAAAAACATTAGGAAGTTCACTTTTGCAAACAGAGTGGTAAATGGATGGAACAAGTTAAGAAAGAAGGTGGTAGAGACCAAACTAGTCAGTACCCTCAATGCATCATGTGTAATTTTGTGTCCATTTATGAAAAATCATTAAAAATGTGATTGGAGCCATATTAAGAGTGTTTGTACTAATATTTCCCACACACTATGGGCTGCTTTCACCGAGAGAAATTTTAATTTCACCCTGTCATGTGAAGAAAACTACTAAGAGAACCTGTCTGCAAAGAGACTTCCAGACACGTTCCACATCTAGTATATTTCCCCATGCGCAAGCCTCAAAATCTCACTTTCAAAGAAAGAGCCTGTATTTTACCGAACAAAAACCTCTGCAACTGAAAAAAAAATTAATATTGATTTAAATATTGGCTTTCCCAGGGCCCCCAACTCTTCTTCTAATGCTGTGTCCATCTATGAAAGTCATTAAAAAGATGATTGGAGCCCTATTAAGAGTTAACATTCATATCCTACACACACAAATCACAATAGCGTGATATATCAAATGAACAAATCCACAAGGGCCATGACGAGGGTGCGAGGCCGTGATTGTAGGTTCGAACCCTCATCACGGCCCTGGTGGATTTGTTCATTCATATCCTCATATTGCCCATGCTCTTCAGGCTGATTTCACTAAGGCAGTTTTTAATTTTAACTTTTGATATGATTGGCAACTTTTCCACCAGTCTGTGAACTCTGTCCCAACATACTAAGCAAATCAGCACATCCCTCACTTCAGAAAACTCGTTTGTGAAATTGAGTGAATAAATCCGGCCAGAAAAGTGTGCATCCTAACCGGATATTTGCAGAATCAAGGTTGCACTGTATATATAATTTGTTTTGTTTTTTCTTTTCCTTTTTTTTGAAAAGTATTGCATGGTAGTAATTCATATACAATATAAAAAGTTATACATGGGAATAATAGAAGAAACAAATCCCAAAGGTAAATTTTGAAGATCTTTTGATTCCATGATCTTTTGGATCAGTATTTAAAACTAAAGTACATTGATCCATCTTTAACATTATCAGTTATAGTGCTTGCAAAGAGCCGATTAATAGTAAAACAGTAATGAATGAGTATTTACAGTCATAAGCTGATCCCCCATTTTTTGATACTGCTAACTTTAAGCCCTTGACTGTGTCACTGTGTCACTAGCCCAGTGACTGCTACCTGCCCTGGCTCAGGATACTCGTGTGTTTCACACCACCGTATCAGGACATATTTTGAACAATAACCTAGGGAACATGTACAACCTGACTGAACATGCACAATACTATACACACTAAGAATTACCAACAAAATATACAAGATACCCTAGAAATTTCAGTATTGCAGAGGAAAGTCATTATTATTTCAATATTTAACTAAAGACAAATTTTAATGCAATCCATATTAACACAGATTTATTTCAATGTTAACAAGGAAAAAATATTTTTATTAATAAATACAAATTATATCTTTTTTTGGTAATAAAACTTAACCTTTATAAACCACCACAAAAAATAATGTCTAGAATTACTAAATATTAACTACTCACCAAAAATGGCAACTTGCGAAAAACAGAAGGACGTGATGATATTTTAGCTGTGCAAGGGTTCATAACTTGGATACCAACTAGTGAGAAGAGGTCAGCAAGCATGGCTGACTTTATTTTCAAATCCAGAGGTTGATCAATGTTCAAAGATGGCGATAAGTTGACTTCCAGCACCCACGGTTTTAACTGACTGTCAATCAAAATGTCAAACCCATATAATTCTGAAAAAATAAATTAGAATGAATTCAAACATTATTAATAAATACTTAATTTATACTAGATGTAAATAATATTAATAATATATGCAAAATAATTCCAATAGACTTCCAATTGTTTTCCTGTTCAGTAGCCTACATATATTAATCTACCACCTTTCCAAAACTTGTAGTTCTGTATACAGGCATTTATACCATATTCAAAGATGTCATACATACATATGCATCATATCCACAAGCTTTACAATCTATTACCACAATTAGAGTGGTTATACTCCCATATTCACATCCTGCAGAGAGTAACTGATCAGCATATAAAGTTCACCCCTCAGGATGCAGTGACCCTAGCACTTCAGCAGCTCACCAGTAACATTTTATACAATTTCTACAACCACATCATCATCTTAATAAGATCAAAGAACACCATAAGTACAAGTATTCCTCCTGATCCTCCCCAGTATGACATACATGCTTGTATTAACAAAAGCAGGTTATCCATTTGCTCGTGGGCATGAATGACCCATGAGGATACATTATAAATACCCACATTTCAAATTACTTGATAATTTACAAATAATCAGCATGATAATAAACATTTGTGTATGGTAAATATTAACCGACAGACAAGTCCAGTGACGCTAATATTAGCCAAAATCACGTAATGTGTTGAGAGTCAACTTAACTAACTAATGAGCACAAGCTGGTGTAACTAGTTTAGATGGTGTAATGAATACAGGCATTTTCTGGAAGAGATACAAATGTTAGGGAAAAGTGTATTAGTTCAGTCGGGAAGGGGGGGTGCAATATTTGGGGGAATTTATCCAAAATGAACTGCCTAACTACTCACCAAAGCAGTTACGGTTGTGAGGAACAAACATATTTGTTGCAGTGTTCATCTGATAGGATGCAGCAAGTAAAGATTTGATGATGACATCTTCAATAGACCGCATCAGGGCACCAGTATCAATTCCCTGACTCTTTAAATGGCGCAGAAAGGCACTCAAAGACCACTTGTTTCCTTGATCGTCTACCTCTGGGTCCTCATTCCTTTTAGCGTTTAAAAAAAAAAAAAATAGCATTGTCATTCAACAAAACATTGTTTTTTTTTACTTATTATCAATGTCTTTCATACAATTTTTATCAATGTCTCACATACAATCTGACAACAACCATATATATCTTACTCCAACCTCAATTATATTGGAAGAGAGGGAGAGAAGAAGTTGGTGCAAGTCCCTGCTTGGTATTCTTAATCAAACATTCCTGTGTGCTCCCAGACATCAAACAACAGCTCATATTTTGATTGTCTCTTGCTTCAAAATTACTCTTAACTCTTACTCTTTAGTAAGATTACTCTATTACTTTTACTACTTTTATTAATTTTATTAATATTACTTTATTACTAGCAAGATTACTCTTTAGTATTCACTAGCCCCTTTAGTGTGCACTTAACTATTACTGTATTCTTTCACCTTTCATATCCTAACAAGTTACAATCATCCTCTAAATGTTCCTCGTTTTGCATTGTACTGTATCATATAACTTTAATATGCTTCTCTCCACAAGTACAGACCATTTATTCTTTCATGTACTTTAGTATCTGCAATGTATATCTATCTAAGAGTTGTATAAAACTTATGTTTAACCCCAAAGCTACAACTAGCACCAAAGGGCATTATAAATTCTATGGAGTTATGCTGTTATTAGCTCTTGTCAACACTTACATTTGGAAATAAACACACTGAACACCCTTCCCTCTCTAAAAGTAATGAACTATTGGAAATTAATCTAAATGGAGACAGATGGCCAACTTCAGCTGAAGCACCCATTCAGACTGCCACCAACTGCCTCACTGTATTATGAGTCAAGCCCACTGAAACACCATCCAGACCTCCACTAACTACCTTACTGTGATGCAAACCTACTACATCTAGGGTAACCATACTTCCCTAACCAGAGTGGTTACTATGAAAGACAAAGTTTCAGCCCAATCCAGGTGCATTCATAAATAACTTAAACAATGGAAAATGGACCACAGAACTATTTCCTAAAAACCTTGAAGGGGAAAATGGTAATGGAATCCATCTTGGGATCACTGGGGGAGTCACCATGAGCATTGCCAGAGACAGTGAAGCACTTTCCAGCACAGGCTGTAAAATGATCTACTTAACATATCACATGCCGTTCATGCGCACCGCAGAAATGACATCATGTGCCGTTGGGTGCTGGCGAGCGTGCGGCGACACCGAAAAGTGTATACTCGTTTCAGTTTTCTCACCTACATTCTCGTGCTACGTCATTCATTTTGGTATCGTGTTTGCAATAGAATTCCCTACAGGGGTATATGCATATAAGGTCCAAAAGCCCGCCATGACTCCCTACAGCAAAGCCTAAAGTCGGCAAAGTTACTTGTGAGCACGCAAAATCAGTAAAATGTGTATACTCGTTTCAGTTTTCTCACCTTATTTCTCATACTACGTCATTCACTTTGGTATCATTGTGTTCGCAACAGAATTCTCTACAGGGATGTATGCATATAAGGTCTAAAATCCCAGTGTGACTTCCCACAGCAAAGCCTAAAATCGGCCAAGTTACCCGTGAACGAGCATCAATTGGCACACATACAGACTAATGTATATACTCATTCAGTTTGATAAAAAAAAATTATGTTACATGTTTCATTTTGGTATCAAATTGTTCACAAAATAAAGGTGCGTATTTTAAAACTAGTCCCATAATAACAGAATAAATGGAATTTTAATAAATATTTTAACTTTTGGACACTTTGTCGTTCATCACCACAAATTTATATCTTTTCAGTGTTCTGACATAAATTTTCGTGTTAAGTCTTTCATTTTCATATCAAATTGTGCACAATGTAAAGGTGCTCCTTTTGAAACCACCCAGAAGTTGATTGGATAAAAATTAAATTTTTTACAAATATTTTAATACATGATGCGAGCCAGTCACTCGCTCAGAATCGGGAGAAAAATGAGTCACCGACGGGTGGCGGCAACGGAGTGCAATAATGTTAACTGCCACAATACCACCTTGGAAGAAAGAGGGGCCTTGCCTTTCTGACCTCACTGCACCTCTACCTCACCTCACTGACCTTACCACACCTTTACCTTGCCTTTCTGACCTCACTGCACCTCTACCTCACCTCACTGACCTTACCACACCTTTACCTTGCCTTTCTGACCTCACTGCACCTCTACCTCACCTCACTGACCTAACCACACCTTTACAATGTCTTTCTGACCTCACTGCACCTTTACCTCACCTCTCTGACCTTAACAAATCTCAACTTCTTTGCTTTTTATAAGCAGCTAGTATTTCTCCATTAATATTGATAGAGCCCTTACAGGTGAAATATCATCTTTAAATTGTACTCTCATTTTTGTGTCTCGATACATTGTTTTAAGCACTTTATGCTCTATTCAACCAACATTTTAACTGCATGTTTGTATCTACATATCATGAACAATGATTATATTCTTTAATACCTTGTACCTTATGTGACTGCATGTAAAATCTGACCAAATATTATAGCAATGACACTTCCACAATTCATCCAAATAAATCATTTTCCTGCCAAAATTATTACTTACTGAACATAATTAGAATGAAATTTATTAACAGAATAATTTGTGAGATGAATGCAGGGGTTCCATAAATTCTTCCCATGCTGATATTTAACAGTTGCCAGGCGCACCAATCCTTCTTCATACAGATATACAACAAGTGGATCTAGAGATGTTACGCCAACATATAACCTGAGATCACACTTGTACCCATCCACTAGCAAGGGTGATTCAATATAGCGGCATAATAAAGAGGTCTCATCTGCTGGAACTTGATCCACCTATCAGAGGATAAAAATTATTATGCAAAAAGAGGTAAAAAATGTTTTCACATCTTGAAAGAATGAACCTAGGTGAATAATACCAAGGAAACCAATATATTGCTGTATAAATATATGTAATTCTCAACACTATAATTTCAACATGAAACCAATAATTAAACACTAACCAATGCTCATACATTATCCAGTGATCAAGAAAATCTTAAATATACTGTAATACATAATACATATACTGTACATAATAAAGTCCAAAATATACCAATAATGATTAAATTCATGTACTGCACTACGGAATAGAAATTGGCAAACCTACCTGACTGACCAGGTATATTCCCTTGCCTTGTGACGAGGCCACTGGCTTAACAATCCAAGTTCCCCGTTCACGTAAGTGAGTATCACAAAAATCCCTGTATTCTGTAGGTAGAATAAAGCTGGTTGGAATGAAGTCAAAGAGCTTGACACCAAACTGCCGTTGCATTCGTTTGATGTTCATATATAAACGATCTTTTCTTGTGAGCTCTGAAGACCTGTAAGTAATACTTTGCATTAAATTTCATTAAATAAATGTACCACACACCTAAAAATGGATGCAATAAAATATATAAAGAAAAATTAAGAAAGTGTTTCTGACTTAGTAAAGAGTGAGTACATGGTTAATGATGTAGCTTGCCAAAGTGGCAAACAATATAAAATACAGTAATCTTAAAATATAAACCATACATACTATCTAAAAAATTCAAATTCATTAACATACCATAACCGAAGCATTTTATTAATTTCCTCATTGGATTTTCACAAATCACAATAGACAACTGAACATTTTCCCATTTGATTCACATAAATGCTGCTGCCTATTGGAAAAGACATTATTAAACAAACAGAAATCAGTATTTGGGATTTAACTGAAATTTTGCTGTTGGAATTAATTTTTGTACATCATATGGATACCCAATTACTGCCTGGCTTCCCAAAGTTTTCTAACTAAGTCTTAGAACTATTAGTGCCAAATACCAAATCTGAACATTTATCGAGTTTTAAGAATGTCCACTAGGAATTACAATTAAAATTACTACATCAAATTGTTCAAAAGTATCAACACACTAATAAACAATTCAAGAAGAGTTTGTAAAAAAGTTTTCAACCCAGTAAGTGCATTGAAAGGTTTATATAAATTCCAATAATCATTATCAAGATATATCATGGAAAGTACTAATAACAATAACAAAAATTTTAAATTCCATTTTTTTGCTAGACAAACATACTGACCTTGGAAAATGGTTGACCTTTTGCCAATCTTGGAGTTGTCGAATCTCATTAGGGTTAAAGTGAGCATTTCCCCAGTACAAGTTGAAGAAGGAACTATTGCTCTCAACTTCAGTAAAGCCATGTGCCTCCATCAGCATGCGAATGAGCTTTGAATCTGACTAAGAAGAAAATAAAGAATGTTACCTTACTAAAAATTATTTTAGTCTTTCAATAAAAAAACTTTTTTTTTGTCACTTAATTCCCCAGCTTAGCAGAGGAAACTGCCTCTTCCATCTTACCTTCATTATTCATCATTCTGCATACCGAGTATTACGGCCAGTATGGAGTTTACATTTACAAGAATGTAAGAACTCGTGCACAGTGTACCATTGGTTTACAAATTTAATTGAACCAAGAGAAAATTCATACACCGAAAATTTGTAAACCGAAAAGAATTTCCCAATAAGAAATAATGTAAATTGAATTGACCACTTAACTGCGCCAACCAAGTATTCTTGGTCGGCGGGAAACTGCGCCACCCATGAAAACCATTTTTTACTTTTCCGTATTCATTCTAAATAAATAAATAAATAAAATAAATAAATAAATAAATGTTTATTCAGGTAAGGTACATACATACAAGAGATTTTACAAAAATTGATAGATTTATAGATAGAGCTAGTACATACAATGCCTAAAGCCACTATTACGCCAAGCGTTTTGTGTGCGGGGTTGGTTGTGTAGGAAATGGACTCTTAAGACCTCCAGTGAGAGGCAGCCATCTTTTAAAAAATTCCCAGAATGCCCTAGGGCTGCTGGCTGGGTTAATACTGAGTGAGCAACCATTTGTGGCGCACGCGCCTCTGGCTCCCAAACATCTGTCTGACACGGTGTTGAAAGATAATGCTCTGTCGGTGAAATTCAAACCTTATTGTTTGAAGAACATAAGGGTCATAATATTGGTGAAGCTAGGTGCAATAAGGACCTAACACAGGTCGGATGCAAGTGATACAGCACCTTTGAGGATGATACAGCGAGCGTATCCAGTTGTAGCTCTGAGTGTCACCCTTGCAATCCTAAGCTATCTCCAATTTATTTAGATGATACATATATGAATTGTTTTCTGCATTCAGTGATGATGCATCTGATAAAAGTAGCATAGATGAACAGTGTTAGCGGTTTCCATGGTGGTGTTTTCCATAGATATTTTCAAGATTACCTGAATCTCTTCCTGACTGATGGATACTCTTTGAGGCAAGCTCAATCTCTTCCTGTGTGGGACCATACAAAGTCATCTTTTCAAGACTACCTAACAAATTGATCTTTTCCTATAATCTTTTCAATACTACCTTATGCTTTACAAGCTTGGCTACATACAACCTACAAGTACTAAAGCCAAGGGTGTACGTGAGTGCGTTATTTGCAAGCACACAGAATGACGAAACTCGAAGTGAAAATTTATCTGTACCTGGTGCAACAAGAGCGAAGTCGCGCTGTGCACCATGGACTACTTCGTTGATTATTACTCACTTCCGAAGTACTGAGTGTGTAATACAGTGTTGTAAGGTACAGGATTGAAAGCCGTACCCTAAAGTATCGCTAACACCCGCTCTTACCTTCTTATAAATAATGGAAGTGCAGGGGTCTATATAGTAATAGCCACCAGTTTTAACTACATGGGACAAGAAGTACACCTTGGGGTACAATTTTACAAAAAGGATTTTTTAACAAATACCAGATTTCCTCACACTTCTTAGAACAGGGGATGGGGGGTGTACTTGGATCCACCACAGGATTGATACAGACAAAAGGGGGGGTGTACTTGGATCCACCACAGGATTGATACAGACAAAAGGGGGGGTGTACTTGGATCCACCACAGGATTGATACAGACAAAAGGGGGGGTGTACTTGGATCCACCACAGGATTGATACAGACAAAAGGGGGGGGGAAGGTTCCTTCTCCCTCTACAACCTGGGATTTAAGGTCATTACTCTATTCCACTCCCCATAGGTCACTACAAAGGGCCTGGGTTCACAAATAGATATACAAAATAAATGTGGATAACCCCCCATGTGGCACACAGCTTAGCACATACACCACCTGAATTAACAACACACCACTCCCTACACACAGGGTTCCAAAAATCCTCATTTCCACAAATTCCTATCTCTAACTCATAAAGAAAAGGGGAAGCACCGCTATAAACATCTATAATACTGCACTTATCGTATTTGTTGGAGACCATCCACAACACTGGTCTGGTTCTCACTGCCTCCCTCTCCCAAGTGACTGATAGGGGCTTGCACATGTCACTGCCTGCCTGATTCCAATAATGTCCCCCTCCCTATACATGTCATACACATTCTCAATAATTCATTTACATGTCTTGTAATGTTCCAGGCTGTTTTTCTACATTTAACACTGTTGTTTCTCTATTTTCTTGCATTGAATCTGCTTTTTCATTACCATTTTATCCCTTTTGTTTACAGTGTTTTTTTTTTAGGAGATTACATTTTCCTGTTGAGATGATGCCCTGTCCATCTGAAAGGGGTCCGAGTTCCAGACTGTTTTTCAACATTTAACACTGCTATTTCTCCCTACACAAGGGTCTCTCTCAATAGCACTGCTATTTCTCTCTACACAAGGGTCCCTCTCTTACAGTGTGTTACTGTGTAAATAGTGTGTGAAACTGTACATATTTTAATTTTAGTGAATTTTTAACAAGTAATATTGCAACAATAAACATTTATTGTGGAAACATTACTGACATGTATTACAGTTCCATGGAACATTATGAATGTTCTACTGTAGACATACTGTAAAAGACACAAATATGCATCATATACAATAAAAAACAAATAAAAACGCATTGGAAATACATAGAACAAATAATTGAAAATATATTTGTGGCAACACCCGGTGCTTGAATGGCCCGCGCGACCGTGTTTGGACGAGTCATGCACGAATGACCAGGCCCTGATGATGTCACAGTGCACCTTGTCCACATCCCCACAGCCAAAGTAAGTGGAATTTGGTATTTATTTTTACATAGACATGTTCAGGGAAGGGAATTTATCATTTTACAAAGACAAAAAGAATTTTTTGGGAACACTTTATTTCATGCGCACAGGGGGAATTTCACAATAAACTCGGCGCAGCACGGTGGTTAATCTGTTTCACTGTTTCACACACCAAAAATATTAACTTGAAAATACATTTTATATAGAATACTAATCATATTCTTTACCTTACCTTTATTGAGGACTCTTGTTGGAGCATAGAAGACGGTGAAGATGGTTAGTGTTTGGAAGGGGAGTCCCCCCTTTCCCTTATAACATTAGGCTTCTGAGGTACTCACTCTCGTACGTTTTGCCTGCATACCACTAGGACCTGGTTGTGGTTCACTGCTTGCTTGTCTTACTAAGAATCTGCCAAAAGACACTTGCTTTTCCCCTATGTTTTAACTCTTGTCTGTAGTGAGACATCACATTGTCATTAAAAATGGTCAATGCAATGGGTTGCTACAGCTTTATCTGGGCGAGTTTTTTCAGCAAAACTTTGTGGTTCTTCCCATATAGCACACATTTTCTAAATGAGGAAGGGACATCCTCTACTGCCTCTACTCACAACTATTTGTTTGGTTGAACTTTACCACTGACTTTCTTGGGACCCATGGCATTATATATAATAAGAACTTTTATATTCAGAAACCAAAAACTAGCATTTAATATAATGATTTGCCATTTTCTGGTTGAACCTCGGAGGCTCCCCGGAACTTACTGGGCTGAAATATATTTATTAGATCATTGCATCAGTCAATTGAAGTTCTTACCTACTGGGGACCACGCGTGCCAGAACCTCGCCCTCTCAGAGAGGTATGAGGAGCAATAGCCCATGGAAACCCCCCATGTGTTTGGAAGCATTCCATGTCTGCCATTGACCGGGGTTTGGCACCCAGAAAGGTAGGCATAACAAAAAACCCAAATGGTAAAATTACAAAGACCTCATAATGTTCATGAGACAGATTATGGTAAGAGCTGACAAAGATAAATCCCAATTGTTGGTACTGGGGGAACTTCAACTTTAAGGCAATAGACTGGGAGGCCTATGAGGCAAGAACAGAGGAGATTTGGACAGGTAGATTTGTAAACCTCATCTTGGGGACATTTATGTATCAACATGTCAAGCAGGCCACAAGAATGAGGCAAGGGAATGTTCCGTCAGTACTGGATCTAGTGTTCGCCAGGAAAGAAGAAGAGGTATTTGACATCCAGTACCTTCCTCCCTTAGGAAAGAGTGATCACTTCCTCTTAAACATTAAATATGCTATGTGATATAATCTAGTAGAGAATGGGGACAGTGAAACAGTTGTTAAACTCGATTTCAAGAGAGGACGCTACGGGGAACTATGAAATTTTTTCATGCGTATAATTGGACAGACTTGTTGCTAGGCAAGGAAGTAGATGAGATGTATGCCAAATTTTGCAAAATATATACGATGAAGGAACACAAACATTTATACCAAAACAGACATGCAGACCTAGGAAACAGGGTTGGTTCAACAGAAATTGCGAGAGGGCCAGAGATCAAAAGACACAAGCATGGAATCATTATAGAAAGAGACCAAACCCCCAAACATACCAGCGATACAAATATACAAGAAACGACTACATGTCAGTAAGGAGAGAGGCAGAGAGGAACTTTGAGAACGGTATAGCAGACAAATGTAAATCAGATCCAGGCCTTTTCTATAAATTCATTAAAAGCAAGCTATAGGTAAAGGATAATATTTAGAGGGTGAAAATGGGGGACAGATACATGGAAAATTAAAAGGAAATATGTGAAACATTAAATGAAAAGTTCCAAAGTGTGTTTGTACAAAATGAGATCTTCAGAGAACTAGACACAATAAGAATTCCAGAGAACAGCATAGAGCATATATAGGTGTCTAGAGACGAAAGTGAAACAAATGATCCTGGAGCTAAGAAAGAACAAAGCAGTTGGCCCAGACGGAGTTTCACCATGGTGAAACCAGAACCATGGGTTCTGAGAGAATGTGCACCCGAGCTCAGCATTCCACTTCAGCTGATTTTTCAGGAGTCGTAGCAGATGTTTGGAAAAAGGCTAGCATAGTTCCAATCTACAAAAGTGGCAGCAGGGAATACCCGCTCAATTATAGACCTGTATCACTGACAAATGAAATAGTCAAAATATTGGAAAAAATAATAAAAACTAAATGGGTAGAACACCTGGAGAGAAATGATATAATATCAGACAGATAGTATGGTTTTCAATCTGGAAGATCCTGTGTATGGAATTTACTCAGTTTCTATGATTGAGCAACAGAGATTTTACAGGAAAGAGATGGTTGGGTTGACTGCATCTATTTGGACCTAAAAAAAAAAAAAAAAAAAAAAAAAAGCTTTCGACAGAGTTCCACATAAGAAGTTGTTCTGGAAACTGGAAAATATTGGAGGGGTGACAGGTAAGCTTCTAACATGGATGAAAAATTTTCTGATAGAAAAATGAGGGCAGTAATCAGAGGTAATGTATTGGACTGGAGAAATGTCACAAGTGGAGTACCACAGGGTTCAGTTCGGGTTCAGTTCAGTTCAGTTCAACTGTTTATTAGTTCTTGCACCAGTGATGTTCATTGTCTACATAAATGATCTACCAGATGGAATACAGAATTATATGAACATGTTTGCCGATGATAAGATAATAAGAAGGAAAAGAAACTTAGATGATTGTCATGCCCTTCAAGAAGACCTGGACAAAATAAGTATATGGAGCACCACCTGGCAAATGTAATTTAATGTGAATAAATGCCATGTTATGGAATGTGGAATAGGAGAACATAGACCCCACACAACCTATAAATTATGTGAGACATCTTTAAAGAATTCTGATAAAGAAAGAGATCTAGGGGTGGTTCTAGATAGAAAACTATCACCAGAGGACCACATAAAGAATATTGTGCGAGGAGCCTATGCTACTCTTTCTAACTTCAGAATTGCTTTTAAACACATGAATGGCGAAATACTAAAGAAATTGTTCACGACTTTTGTTAGGCCAAAGCTAGAATATGCAGCAGTTGTTTGGTGCCCATATCTTAAGAAGCACATCAACAAACTGGAAAAGGTGCAAAGACATGCTACTAAATGGTTCCCAGAACTGAAGGGCAAGAGCTACGAGGAGAGGTTAGAGGCATTAAATATGCCAAAACTAGAAGACGGAAGAAAAAGAGGCGATATGATCACTACGTACAAAATAGTAACAGGAATTGATAAAATTGATAGGGAAGATTTCCCGAGACCTGGAACTTCAAGAACAAGAGGTCATAGATTTAAATTAACTAAACAAAGATACCGAAGAAATATAAGAAAATTCAGTTTCGCAAACAGAGTGGTAGACGGTTGGAACAAGTTAAGTGAGAAGGTGGTGGAGGCCAAAACCATCAGTAATTTCAAAGCGTTATATGACAAAGAGTGCTAGGGAGACGGGACACCACGAGCGTAGCTCTCATCCTGTAACTACTCTTAGGTAATTACATCCTCCGAGATGACCCAACAGAGCGCAGGGGAAGAGGCCTGCCCCTCCAGCCCCGAACCCCCTAGAGGATAAGGAGGCACCCAATACCACCAGAGGCCAGAAAAGACGATCCGAAACGTCCACTAATCATGGGACCAGGTGTGAGCAAACAGCGCAAGCCTGTCTCATCAACAGGGCGACCCACGAAAGAGCCGACGTCCCTTACAAGAAGCCAAACGACGAGCAGAGCAACCACTGCGCTGACCAGACGCCAACAGCTCCAAAACTGACATCACTGGCTCACTATGACTAGTGGAACCCCGAACCCTGGCATGACCCTTCCAGGAAGCCCCACCACGGCCCCCCTTGGAGAACCAACAAGTCCAACTTGGGACAACAACTAGACAAAGCTGCTTGCAGAGACTGCATGACAGCAGACTCTGTCATGCTTACCACCACCAGGCAAAACAAACAAAAACGAAAAGCACATCATTCCAAGGAGGAACAGAACCGACCGCTGTGAATAATGGGAGACAAGCTGCACAATATCTTGTGCTCCTACCAGCAACGATACCACTTCCTACCCAAGGCCAAACAGTGGCAACAAATACCCCAGCAGGCCCTAAGGGCAGGCAATTGTCGAGCAACAAAAGACCCTTACGGAAACGGTTCCCGAATGCCCTGAGGAAGATAACCCGAAGACGCAAGGGCAATACTTACAGGGCAGTTAGGGAAGGTGGCCCTAAGTGCACGCAGCCCCAATACTGATGTATACTGATGATACTGATGTCCTGCAGGAGTATGATACAGGAGTATCATCAATACTGATGATACTCCTGTCCTGCACACCACACACAGTAGAAATACACCACAAGGCACAGAACTGCAAGAGTCAGAGGCCAGAGTCAACTGCCGCCACAGTCAACATCAGCCGAGGAACTGAATGCTGTACATTCAGTTCCTTGGCTGATATTGACTGTGGTGTCTGGGCCCTCCCCTTCCCCTCCTGAGGGGAGGGGGGGCTGCATGGACAATCAGCGTTTTAGGTTTTAGTTTAGTTTAGCTGGGATTTTAGTAGCGATTTTTACCATGTGGGGTTTGTTTTGTTACACCTACCTTTCTGGGTGCCAGATCCCAGTCAATGGCAGACATGGAATGCTTCCAAATACGCAAGGGCTGCCATAGGCCATTACTCCTCGTGCCTCTCTGAGAAGGCCAGGTTCTGGCTCATGGTCCCCGGTAGGCAAGAACTTCAATCGACTGCTGCCACAGTCTAATACATACATATCAGCCCGGTAAGCTCCAGGGAGCCGTAGGGGCTTCCCATAGAAAAAATACTTTTAAAACTAAAAATAGTTGTTTTATGAGCTATAAAACCTTACCTGGGAAAATTTAAATGTCAGGTTGTATTTTCTAGCAGTGGATTCTTTCGGAGGGTCGTCCAGGTTGGCATAATTGAAGAGAAGATAACCATTCTTTTTGCTGCCGCTGCCCAGCCACATTACATCACCATCAATAGTCATCATTTCTTCACTAAAACATCAAGGAATTCATTACAATGTTTCCAGTAGCAATACAACTTAACTAGCTTTTACAATTAATTAATTTTTAACAATAAAAATAAAAATACATTGAAGCAAAGAGGACCTTCCACAAACATGTCATAATACAAAAAAATACAGCACAACACAGTAATGTGCACAAGTTCATGAATTGCTTTGCGTGGAACCAATTCTGTAAAATTTCTTTGTAAATCTTTGTGATCTTATTATATCACAATCCTTTGATATGGGATGTCACAAAAAATGCGCATTCTTGTGTATTCATTATCAGAGTTAGGGTTCTTCAAACAAAAAACAAACAAAATTATATATATATATATATATATATATATATATATATATATATATATATATATATATATATATATATATATATATATATATATATATATATATATATATATATTATTATATATATATATATATATATATTATATATATATATATATATATATATATATATATATATATATATATATATATATATATATATATATATATATATATATATATATATATATATATATATATATATATATATATATATATATATATATATATATATATATATATATATATATATATATGTCGTACCTAGTAGCCAGAACTCACTTCTCAGCCTACTATTCAAGGCCCGATTTGCCTAATAAGCCATGTTTTCCTGAATTAATATATTTACTATAATTTTTTTCTTATGAAATGATAAAGCAACCCTTTTCTCTATGTATGAGGTCAATTTCTTTTTATTGGAGTTAAAATTAACGTAGATATATGACCGAACCTAACCAACCCTACCTAACCTAACCTAACCTATATTTATAGGTAAGGTTAGGTTAGGTAGCCAAAAAAAGCTAGGTTAGGTTAGGTTAGGTAGGTTAGGTAGACGAAAAAACATTAATTCATGAAAACTTGGCTTATTAGGCAAATCGGGCCGTGAATAGTAGGCTGAGAAGTGCGTTCTGGCTATTAGGTACGACATATATATATATATATATATATATATATATATATATATATATATATATATATATATATTACACTTATTTGTATAATTTGCACGACGTTTCGAACCTCCATGGTTCATTCTCAAGTGATATATATATATATATATATATATATATATATATATATATATATATATCACTTGAGAATGAACCATGGAGGTTCGAAACGTCGTGCAAATTATACAAATAAGTGTAATATATATATATATATATATATATATATATATATATATATATATATATATGTCGTACCTAATAGCCAGAACGCACTTCTCAGCCTACTATTCAAGGCCCGATTTGCCTAATAAGCCAAGTTTTCATGAATTAATGTTTTTTCGTCAACCTAACCTACCTAACCTAACCTAACCTAGCTTTTTTTGGCTACCTAACCTAACCTTACCTATAAATATAGGTTAGGTTAGGTTAGGTAGGGTTGGTTAGGTTCGGTCATATATCTACGTTAATTTTAACTCCAATAAAAAAAAATTGACCTCATACATAGAGAAAAGTGTTGCTTTATCATTTCATAAGAAAAAAATTATAGTAAATATATTAATTCAGGAAAACTTGGCTTATTAGGCAAATCGGGCCTTGAATAGTAGGCTGAGAAGTGAGTTCTGGCTACTAGGTACGACATATATATATATATATATATATATATATATATATATATATATATATATATATATATATATGTATATATATATAATTATATATTATATATATAATATATATATATATATTATATATATATATATATTATATATATAAATATATATTATATATATTATATATAATATATATAAATATATACAGTATTATATATATATATATATATATATATATATATATATATATATATATATATATATATATATATATAAATATATATTATATATATATAAATATTATATATTTTATATATATATGTATTTTATATTTCAACACATTAAACATGACAAACAACAATAAACATGAGCTTTTAAAAAATTCTTCCAATTTCATAGAAATAGATGACTAATTCTGGGATATCCTGTATGAATGTACAATATAATCGAGTACCGAGTTGAATTGCAAATTTGGCAATACAGTTACATTTTAATGGCATAGATAAAGTGTATTGATCTCTTTACTAGAAACATAATTAATTTATCATAAAAGAAATCAATTTTTTAGCACTAAATATATCATTCCTGGCAACCAGCAGCAAAACAAAAGGTGCAGTCAATGAGCCAAATGTGTTACCAAAACCTAATACTGTACTGTATTACCAATTCTGGCATGCTTAAGCTTAAATATATAATACAGTAATGTAATACTCACTGCCTATGCTTTCCACTGGACGAATACTTGTTGCTCCTGTTTTCTCGTTTTAGTGATCTTCCCCTTTCCTTTTTATCTTGAGTTTTTGATTCTCCTCTTCCTTTATCTCTCACCTTTTCATTTTCCTTATCTTCCCTTGCAGATCCCTCTCCATTTAGCTGACTTCTGTGAGGACTCCTTGAGGCTGCACGCTTCATCCTCTCGGCCCAGTCCACACTGAAGCGACTAGAAACTTTACCTGTGTTTTTATCATCATTTTGTAAGGAGAGTTTTTGTTCTAAAATATTTTCCTTTTTATGTTGGTCACTTTTTAAACCTTGGGATACAGAAGGAGGAGCTATCTTCTGCCGACCAAGAAGCTTTGGACGTTCCCCAGAGAAACTTCTGCTATGAGATGGCCCCAGTGTTCTGGTTTTTGTTTTTCTCTCTTTATTTTGGACATCTTTACTTTCACCTTCTCTTTTCTTTCTCTCCGTACTGGAACTATTAGGACTTGCACTTTCCCTGCGAGAGTTTTCAGCTCTTCTTCTGTCTAGTGAAAGACTTCTACTAATATCACTTCTTTGGGGACGGTCAGAGATTTTGCTTCTTACTGACCCTGATCGTTTCCGGTCCAGTGAAGAAGTCCATTTTGAAGAGTCAATAACCCTTCCAGATGGCCGGTCTAGTGCAGAACTACTGCTTCCTCCACTACTCCCTCTGCTAGTGCTAGAGCTACTGCTGCTGCTGCTGCTGCTGATACTACTGCTCCCACTAAGTCTACTACTACTTCGGCCATATGGAGGAGCTCGCGGAACTTCAGGTGGTTTACCACTTACTTTATTCCCTCTTAGCCTTAGATCAGCTTCATCAGAAAACTGAACTTTTTGATCTCCCTTACGTGTACTCTTCACAGGAGAGTTAGATCGTGAGGAAACTTTAGGTAGCTTCTCCATTGCAGATATAATGATAATGATCTAATGAGGATAGCATAACATCTAAATAAAATTACAAAAATAATATATCTCTAATATGGGCATACAGAAAGCAATTTGACTAGATAAGTGAACTATATTTTATAAACCATGAAGGAACCACACAAACACATGAAGGAATGATAAACTCCAAGAAATAGGAAGAGGGTTTAACAAAACATCTAATCACAGAAACGGCAAACATCCACTACTGTATGTAAGCAAGGTTTCTTCCTCGTTGCTTGGTCCGGTGTACAGAAGTGGCAGTGGCCAGGAATGGCTTGGTCTGAGGACAAATCCAGTTGAGTTTCAGGGTTGGAGTAACAGGTTATGTTTGAAGGGTTGGGGCTGACTAGGTGGGGTGTTCCTTCTGGGAGCTCATCGTCCTTGGCACATCAGAGGCTCCAAGGCGACGTAGGGTCAGCTAGGTGATTCTGGCTTTCTCATCTATTATTTATGAAGGGCGATCCTAAGATGAGACCCTGTCAGCAAGAGAAGAATATTAGATGAATCATAACATTAATGTCTTTGATAAACTGTACTAGTAAATTAACACATGACTAAATATTTTATCAAGGAAAACAACTGCAGCCTGAGGTCAACTGCCATTTTCAGTGTAAAAATGGAAAAAATTATTTGTGGTGCATTAATGATCAGCAGCTCTTTGTGATAACTAATACATGCATAACTTACTGCATAACATGAGAGGACATGAGCATTAAATAGACTAATTCTGCATAATTATAGTACTTATTTGTAGTTTACAGGATTACAATCAAACTCATGCCTTACCACCACCTTCCTTTGCTCATTTATTATACATGTATTTACTCTTAGTTACCTCAGCACTAGTTGGCGTGGCATGTGGTTCATGTGAGAAAATACCTTGATAGAATCAATATTTTATAATGTTCGCACTCTTCAGGAGAGATCACAACAACAAAGCTACCAACCCTCTATGGGCATCATTTTATCCCAAAAGCTGCAGACAAGGAAAAGACCAATTCACCTCCAAGAAGTTTATTTCGACTACTAATTTTCCAACCAATATTTTAATTACTGAAAATACTGCATTTACATTGCACATGGTTAACACAATCTCGCCTTGGCCCCTTAACAGTGTACATTGATGACCCTATTGGAAATACAAAACTGTACAAAACATACATGTAGGTGCATTGGATGCCTTGATCCTCACTGTGGGGTCATAATATGCCTACCATCTTACCGCTCTCCACTATCAAAGAAGCTTATTGTTCCCCATAGGCAACAGGATCTGGTTATATTAAATGTCCAGATGAAAAGAAACAGTACACAATTGCCAAGTAAACACATTCACAGTAGACATCTTGGTGTTTATAAGTAAGGAAGTATGTCACAGGCAGTGACCAATAACTGCCTCCTTGGCAATTATACTGAGAGGAAGCAGCCAGTGATGTCCCTTGTCCAGGACAGTGCATGGTCACAACCCTCAACTGAATGATGAAGGCCCCAACTGGCTCAGACCAAAACATCAAATTTACTGTTACTATTTGTTGGTCAGTCACCAATCCCACTTCTGACTAAACTATTCGTCTGCTTAACTTTTGCGCTCTACACTGGCAAACTAGTTCATGTACCCATAAATGTCACACCATATTTTGAGTACAGTGTATCAGCAGCAAAGAACTGATGGGCCATTCTAGGCCACATCAGGTAAGTTGCAATCAGTTAGGAACTCCTGTTATTTTATATAATTATTCATACATGGTTTATTTATAATCAACATTTTAATTTTAATGTACAATATACTGTACAGTACAGTATACAAATATTATATTTTTGGGGATATTCCCATTGAAATTTGTATGTCTTAACTATTTGGCTGCAAACATGATAACGTAATTAAGAAAAAAGCTGCAAAGGAATTAGAGAAGTTGCAAAGAAAGCATAGAATCTCAGCCTACTGAAACTGCGGGTAGAAAGGGAAGCAGTCGAGGCTGCCAAGAAGGCTGTGAAAGAGGCAGAGATAGAGTGAACAAGCAGCCATTACAAAGAAAGCAGAGGTACACAGTATAGTTACAATCATCAGGACACATGAACTTCAGCTGCAGAATATGCAGACCACATCAACCCACCTAAGGTAAAAGAGCCATACCTTCCTTTGGCAGATGAAAAGACCAATGGCCTAGCTGCTTTATGGCACTTTGAATTGTTTTATCCCATTGTTAAGGGACTTTGGGATAGTTGGGCCATGATTACCAGATCTGATTTAACAGTTGCAGTTATGCTTACAAGTAGACCAAGCTGGTTAGCTAACCCTTCAATAGTCTTACTAACCACTTTCTCAGAATGGTTTATTAAAAATTTTAATGAAAACCTCCAGGTTTAATTAAAACAGGAAAGTTCTTTCAACAGATTGTGAAGGCAGCTGAGGGCAATGTCTTGGCTCATTGGGGAATGCTTATAACTGCCTGTCCAGCTTGCCAAAAACTGACAAAAGTTCTATCTGAAACCCAAGTAATTAAGCCACAAAGTGATGCTGAAGGGTATAAAATTTAATTACAGCAAGCACTTTACATGTTCAATCCTTGCACTGTGATTAGCACAGTACTGTATTTACATTACAGTGTATTTCATAAAAAGAAGTAGGCTCCAAATGATATTCTTGAAATGATGGCACTACTATAGTGACAATATGAAAAATTTAATTCTGTTTGTGAATTCTAGCAATCAATATAAACACATGTGTCTGACACCAAAATATAGTATCCTCAATGGAAATATCCATTATAAAATAAGAAAAATTTGAAAAATCTTGATAATTTGGCACTGTTGCAACAAAAACAATAAATGGATATGAGATTGTTAAACGATTTGGCGGGTCGTATTCCGGGGAACATGAGGATTAAGGACTTGCCCGAAACACTATGTGTGCTAGTGGCTGTTGTACAGCCACTAGCACGTAACTAGAATGTAACAACTCTTGTACATATAAATAATAAAGCATTTTTAAAGCAGGCCCTGTGGCGTAATGGTAAGACGCTCGCCTGGCGTTTCGAGAGCACTTTGTCCTGGGTTCGTATCCAGGCCAGGAAGGATTTACTGGGCACCAATCCTTAACTTTAGCTTCTATTCACCCTTTAGTGAATGGGTACCTGGTTGTTAAACGATTTGGCGGGATGTATTCGGGGAAAATTAGGAATAAGAATTTGCCCAAAACGCTATGCGTGCTAGTGGCGTTACAAGAATGTAAGAACTCTTGTATATACAGTGGTACCTCGGTTTAATAGTTTATTCTGTTCCTAGAGATAGCTCGTATTCCAAAAACTCGTAATCTGTAGCTAATTTCCCCATAAGAAATAATGGGAAATGAATTAATTCGTTCTTGACTACCCAAAAACCTCACTTCAAACTAAATTTTATACCTAATTCATCTAAATAAACCTACAAAATTATGTTCAAGTTATTACTTACCCTTGCTGATGACTGCTATTAGCATATGGAAGATGGTGAGGAGGAGGGAGAAGGAGAGGAGTTACTGTTTGGAAGGGAAGTCCCCTTCCATTATAACTTCAGGCAGTGAGGACTTCACTGGTGTGCACTCTCTGGCACATTTTGCCTGCATACCACTAGGACTTGCTTGTCTTACTAAGAATCTGTCTAAAGACACTTGTTTTTCCCTACATTTTAACACTTGTTTGTAGTAAGAAATCAAATTGTCATTTAAAAGGTCAATGCAACAGCCTGCTACAGCTTTATCTGGGTGAGTTTTTTCAACAAAACTTTGCAGTTCTACCCCATACTTCACACATTTTCTTAATGAAGAAGGGAACTCCTCTACTGCCTCTACTCACAGCTATTTTCTTAGGTTGAACCTTACCAATGGCTTTCTTGAGGCCTATGGCGAGATATATAATAACTTTTATTCTGAAATGGCCAAAAAAACGACAAAAAACTGTAAATCCTTGTGAAGAATTCAGGTGGGATAGTCACTGGGCGCGAGACACTGGTAAACTGAGGCGCGATCGCTGTGCCACCACGAGCTAGTCGGCCTGTACGTGTATCAACAAACTCGTGTTCCGAGGCAACCCTCGCCTTCCGAGGCAAATTTTCCGAGCAAATCCTGCTCGTATTCCGAAAAACTCGTATACAGGGACACTCGTATTTCGAGGTACAACTGTACTGTGTATGCATATATAACTGAAAACTCCACAACCCAGGCTTGTTTGCATATGTATGTCCGTCTGTCCGCCAGTCCGGTCGGTCCGGTCGGTCGGTCGGTCGGTCGGTCGGTCGGTCGGTCGGTCGGTCCGGTCGGTCGGTCGGTCCGGTCGGTCCGGTCGGTCCGGTCGGTCCGGTCGGTCCGGTCGGTCCGGTCGGTCCGGTCGGTCCGGTCGGTCCGGTCGGTCCGGTCGGTCCGGTCGGTCCGGTCGGTCCGGTCGGTCCGGTCGGTCCGGTCGGTCCGGTCGGTCCGGTCGGTCCGGTCGGTCCGGTCGGTCCGGTCGGTCCGGTCGGTCCGGTCGGTCCGGTCGGTCGGTCGGTCGGTCGGTCGGTCGGTCGGTCGGTCGGTCGGTCGGTCGGTCGGTCGGTCGGTCGGTCGGTCGGTCGGTCGGTCGGTCGGTCGGTCGGTCGGTCGGTCGGTCGGTCGGTCGGTCGGTCGGTCGGTCGGTCGGTCGGTCGGTCGGTCGGTCGGTCGGTCGGTCGGTCGGTCGGTCGGCCGGTCGGTCGGCCGGTCGGTCGGTCGGTCGGTCGGGTCGTAATTTTACTTTTGCACCCCTAAATCCATTTTCTAGTTTTGTAAAAACACAAACAGAATTTTTGCAAAGGACAAAATTCAGTAATACTGTACTGTACTAGCTCCAATATATTTACCTCATGGTTTCTTATAGTAGGGGGACAGGAAGCCTGTTAAGCTTACCATATCATCATTAACTTATCACTAACCTGTTATCATTATTACCTTTTTATTGTATTCATCCATTTTTTCCTTACATTTTCCATTTGTTTAGCTTACTTCTCTTGTAATATTAAGTTTACCCCTTCATGCATTTAATTAAATTTTTTCCAAATTATTTCACATTTTGGTCGAAACACTTTGCATAATTGTGGCTTCATTATTTTGTGTAACTCCTGTCCCCCACATTTGTATATTATTCTTATGTTCTTTGTACACACATTCTTTTTAATAAATATATTTAATTTAAAAATTTAATTAAATTAAATTGATAAAGATTCCCCTAGGTCAACTACTAGCCTTTCCAAGGATTTAAATTAAAAGTTTTCTAACTCCGAACGATCAATTTACTCCTATGTGAACAGAGATATTGGGTGACGGGAAACACTTCACAAGCACTTCTGTCCTGCCATGAGATTTCGATCACAAACTTACTTTCGGCTGTGACTCGACTGCCCATGCTACTACACCGCAGCCTGAAGGCAGCTTGCTCTGCCTTCAGGTCGCTTAGTTGCTTATCTTATATGTAGCAATACTTGTCACAGGACTACAATAAGATCACTACCCTTGTAATCTTATCACACATTTCAGATTTACACACATTTCGTGTGTAAATCAGGAAAAATAAACACGTGATTAAAAATATGACAGTGTCAGACCACGGAGGAAGAATTGAAACAGAAATTTCCTTAAGTACTTTCGTATATTAATACATCTTCAGAAGGAGTGATTTACAGGTCAAGTATTGGACATATATAGGCAGGAGAGAATGGTGGAGTGAGGTGAGGTACAATAACAAATGAATGGGAATTAGGTGGACACAAATATGAGCCGCACAAGAACTGCAGAAGGCTTATTGGCCCATACAATGCAGCGCCTATTCATACCCACCAATAGGCCCACACATGGATAATAATAGCATAAGATAGTAAATAATTACAATGAATTAGTGAGAAATGTGTATCAATGTTCCTACTCAAATCGCCCTTTAATTGATCTATCAAAAGTGGTTTATATAACTTAGATCCATTTTTGATAGATCAATTAATGAGTGATTTGAGTAGGATCATTGATACACATTTGTCTCACTAATTCATTGTAAATATTTACTATCTTATGCTATTATTATCCATGTGTGGGCCTATTGGTGGGTATGAATAGGAGCTGCATTGTATGGGTCAATAAGCCTTCTGCAGTTCTTGTGCAGCTCAAATTTGTGTCTACCTAATTCCCATTCATTTGTTATTGTACCTCACTCCACCACCCTCTCCTGCCTATATATGTCCAATACTTGACCTGTAAACCACACAGGAGACATCTCCCGTCACACAGGGTGCAGTCGCACCTCCACAGATCTCCAGTACCAGCTCTTGATACTGGTAATGGCTTAAAAGGGCCACCATTTATGGGTTATTTATGGCCGTGCCCCTTTTTGGGTGGCTTCATCTTCATCTTAACATATTCACAAGGGAGACATCTCCCGTCACGCAGGGTGCGGTCGCACCTCCACAGATCTCCAGTATCAGCTCTTGATACTGGTAATGGCTTAAAAGGGTCACCACTTACGGGCTATTCATGCCCGTGCCACCTTTTGGGTGGCTTAATCTTCATCAATCAATCACCTGTAAATCACTCCTTCTGAAGATTAATAATATACGAAAGTACTTAAGGAAATTCCTGTTTCAATTCTTCCTCCGTGGTCTGACACTGTCATATATATTATATTATTATATATATATATACATACACACACACACACTGTATATGGAAATATGGATTGATATAGATGTTGACATAAGCATGCAGATGAATTTTAAGTAACTTCCAGGACAGTTGGCCGATAAAATACTATAATACAATCAATTCGACATACAGGTGGCATTTAAAGAGTGGAAGATGGGTAGGAAGGAGGACCCGCCCATCACACATCTGCATCAACCACTACTCTCATTAAGCACACTAACATTATAACATGCACAACCTAGAATAATGTGACTTTTTTACCATTGAACTCGTCGGTAATATTAATATTCGCTGTTGTTTCGAGTTGCAATTACGAGTGAAAGGTGTCGAGAACACCTGGGCCGATACAAGTTAATGACTTATCGCGCGGGGTGACGGAGACCTAATAATCCTACTGGCGTCCTGCTCACTCTGTTCTAGTTGTTACTCGCCATGACCAATATCACACTAGTGGTGCCATTAGAGCGCGAGGAGCGGTGAGGGAGGAGTGAGAGAGGATGCCAGTAGAGTGGAGACACTCACCTGCCCGACATGGGGTCTCTGCTGCATGTAAACAAACTGTCTGACAGTCTCCCCCGCAGTGTGACGTCACGTCACGTGACATCTGCATGGCCGCCCGCCACTTCCACACCCCTCTCCTTCACCCCCCCACTCCATCCCCCAATCAATTCCCCTTCCATTCTTCATTCAACTCCCTAAAACACTACTGCTCATCTCCCTAGCTGACTGATCCATATCTGCCCACTGTTTCATAACTATCTAACCTTATCTTCATATAATCAGCTGATAATATTGTACTGTATATGATTTATTTATTTATTTATTTATTTATTTATTTATTTATTTATTTATTTATTTATTTATTTATTTATTTATTTACAAGAATTACATTGGATTTGTGAGTACATAACATTGGTGTTCTAACTTTCTTGCAAAGCCACTAACACGCATAGCGTTTAGGGCAGATTCATACATATAAAGTGATATAATTGCCAGTAATTGGTGTAGAGGGTATATGATCCCTTCATACAAGATACCAAGGACAATGTAATACAAACATATCGCAACTGTTTTAACCTCAATAAGCCACAAATTAATGTAGGACAGTAACCAGGAGATGCTTTTTCACCCACAGGGTTATAAATCCATGGAACCGCCTACCCGCCGACGCCGTAAATGCCAAAATCTGCAGAATTGTAAAAAATCAGCTTGAAAAAAGTAATCAGAACAAATTGGGGAACCTTTGACAAGCTGCCGGATTCCTGTCCTCGTCGAGGCCACTACAAATACAAATACAAAATACAAATATTTATTCAGGTAAAGTACATTCGTACAAGGTGAAATACAAAAGTTGATGGATTTATCGATAGAGCTAGTACATACAATGCCTAAGCCACACTAAAGCTAAAGGTCATTCCACATTCAAGGTCCCTTGATTTGTAAAGCATTTCTAGTTTGACTAAGTCGTACTCTTGGAATATCAAATTTGGATCTGTTACAACCATCTAGGAAGCTTTTAAGGTCAGGATTGACATTACAGTTCAGCGTTTCATATATATATATATATATATATATATATATATATATATATATATATATATATATATATATATATATATATATATATATATAATACACATGAGAGGATGTGCAGTGACTTAATATCTAACATATTCAGAGATTTGAGTAAGGGTGCCGAATGATGTCTGGGGCCAGAGTTAAATATTGTCCTAATAGCAGCTTTGTGTTGAGTAATTAGAGGACGTAAATGATTTTGGGTAGTAGAACCCCAAGCACAAATACCATAGTTGAGATAAGGATAGATGAGAGTAATAGAGTGTCACCAGGGCAGGGCGAGGTACATAATATCTGATCTTAGAAAGAATGCCAACAGTTTTTGAAACTTTTTTTGATATATTTAGAATGTGTCCCTAGAAATTCAGCTTGTGGTCAATGAGAACGCCAAGGAATTTGCCATCTACTTTGTTACAAATTTGGGTATTGTTAATCCTGAGATTTATTTGATTTGAGGATTTATTGCCAAACAAAATATAGAAAGTTTTGTCAATATTGAGGGTGAGTTTGTTGGCAATTAGCCAGTGATGGACTTTATTTAGCTTAGTATTCACTGTGACATTTAGAGCAAGGGGGTCAGGACTGGAGTAAATGAAGGTCGTGTCGTCAGCAAATAGAATTGGTTTGAGATGTTGGGAGGCATTTGGGAAGTCATTAATGTAGATGAGATAGAGGAGAGGGCCAAGTATGCTCCCCCTTGGGAACACCAATGTTGATGGGTAGGGTGGGAGAAATTGAATTATTCACAGAGACATATTGAATCCTGTCAATAAGGTAAGACTTAAGGTACTGCAGGGACTGACCTCTGACTCCATAATGTTGCAATTTAAGAAGAAGCAATTTAAGAAGCAAAAATAAATACAAATAAATAAATAAAAGCAAATTCTTATCATAGAAACATTGCTTATAAATAAAGTTACAAAATTATAAAGAGCTAGGATTTATTCTGCTAAATAATACAAACAAGCAAAATACAGTAGTATTTTTTCGGGAATACCCCAATTTTTAAATTATGCTCTTTATTCGTCTGACATTGCAAAATGGCAAGGCAATATATTAATCAGGTGCATAACGGCTGTTAATTCTAAATTGTGAGCCAATTTAAATCGTATACAATGTCGAAGTCTTAAGATGTGTGAAACAAGTATAATAAGTCAATATACTTAATAAGGAGCTTTGTTATAATTGTGCTGAAGCAAGGCGTGTGACGTCATCGGTTGCTCCGGCAACAGTAAACAACAATATGGAGAAAGGTGCTTCAATCATGATGCTCGTCGCTACCAACCAGATGTCCACACTTTCTGGTGAGTTACTCTCATCTACACCGCTCTTGTGTACACTTATAATGCTTGCTCATTTCCAAGACTCTTATAAGACATCGTCAGTCTTGGACGGAACTAAAGTGTGGAGGAGACGACGTGAAGTCTGCGGGCAAGGTGTTGTGAAGGGTCATACTGGCCTGCTTAGCAGTGCCATTATACACCCTCTGGCCTCCCACCAGGTCTGATACCTGTATGTATGGTCATTTCGCTGAGCTGTAATGACTCTGGCCATATATTTTGTCAATTTAGTTTGAGTAAAATATGGCAGCAGAATAGACCAGGTCAGCTTTGTGTGTTGCCAGTGGTCAAAAGTCTTGGTGATGGCAACCTCCTTTCTGGTGTATTGATGGGATGGTTAAGGTCTTGGTCATGGTAACCTCACCACCTCCTATGTGCTGCCCGAGTGATGGATGGTTTGAACACATTCATAGTATAACACCATTCCTTGTCTTATAGTTAACTAACTTGAATGGATGGTGGCAGCAACTTTCTTCCTTCAACCTTTCTATCTTTCTACTATTCTAGCACTTTTACTTTCTACTCTAATTTTCCTTGATCTCATTTTCTCCCTCTCATTCTAAACTTTCCCTCTTCCCCGACCACTCCTTCCTCACACCTCCCTCTTCCCCGACCACTCCTTCCTCACACCTCCCTCTTCCCCGACCACTCCTTCCTCACACCTCCCTCTTCCCCGACCACTCCTTCCTCACACCTCCCTCTTCCCCCTGCCCCTCACATTTCACTTTTCATTTCTTTTTCTATTTTCATTTTCTCCATCGTTACAATAGAACTACCTGCCCACCGAAGCCGTAAATGCCAAAACTCTATTAAATTTTAAAATCCAACCAGAAAAGATCATCAGGGCAAATGGGGGGGGGGGGGACCTTTGACAAGCCGCCAGCTTCCTGTCCTTGTAGGGGCCACTAGTGTGTTAGTGGCCCTCAGGTAAATTCAGGTAATACATAGCACAGTAGGATTCATTCTTGAGTCACAATTGAGAATTCAGGGTTCAAACTCTGGGCAGGACACCTAGCACACCTGATCACCTAGCAGTAAATATGTACCCAGGAGTTAGTCAGCTTGAGGGGTTGCATCCTGGGGAGGGTCAGTAGTTTGACCTTTTGAGGGGGGGAAGGATCTCAATGTAAGCCTAACATGTATATATTCACAGGCTGTCTGTCCCCCAACACAGTGAATTATTATTTATTACTAATGTTATTATAAAACACAAAGTAATGATTCTTGACAAAATGTAATGTTCCAGAGAAAGCCACCACCATTGGGCTGAAAACAAGAAGCATGTGATGTGCCCAGTAGAGATTACAGATGCTGAGCTGATGACAGCAGGCTTCAATACACTGTATTTAATCTAGGCCATCTTGAAGGGGGTATAACAATTGTCTAAGTCTCTTATCTTCCCTAGTAGCTTAGCATCATCAGCAAATATGTTCGTATTGTCCAGAATTTATTCTGGTAGATCTTTTATATAGCTGAACATTAATGGTGCAAAAACTGAACCCTGTGGTACTCCACTAATGTTTCTCCTGTCTGATACACTGTCTGATTAATGCCCTCATTTTTGTCAGAAAATCTTTCATTTATGTCAGCAATCTCCTTGTCACCCCTTCATCATGTTCCAGCTTCCAAAACAGCCACTTGTGTGAGACTATCAAAGGCCTTTTTCATTTCTAAATATAGTCCACCCAACCATCATCTTTCTGTAAAGGTGTGACTGCTTGAAAGATAAGCACACTTATCCTGCAACAATGATCATTTGCTATTTTTACCTAGAGATGTATAATTTCCTTCAAGCAGTCACACCTTTACAGAAAGAAGATGGTTGGGTGGACTATTTCTTTAGAAATGAAAAAGGCCTTTGATAGTCTCACACAAGTGGCTGTTTTGGAAACTGGAACATGATGAAGGGGTGACAAGAAGACTGCTGACATAAATGAAAGATTTTCTGACAAAAATGAGGGCATTAATCAGACAGTGTATCAGACAGGAGAAACATTAGTGGAGTACCACAGGGTTCAGTTTTTGCACCATTAATGTTCAGCTATATAAACGATCTACCAGAATAAATTCTGAACAATACGAACATATTTGCTGATGATGCTAAGCTACTAGGGAAGATATGAGACTTAGACAATTGTTATACCCCTTCAAGATGGCCTAGATTAAATACAGTGTATATGGAGCAAATGAAATTCAGTGTGAATAAATGTTATGTTATGGAATGTACAATATGAGAAAATAGGCCACACAACCTATAAATTATGTGGAAAAGGCATTAAAGAACTCTTGACAAAGAAAGCAATCTAGGGGTGGTCCTGGACAGTAGACTGTCACCAGGGGACCACATAATGAACATTGTGCGAGGAGCGTATGCTGTGCTTTCCAACTTCAGAATTACTTTTAAGTACATGGGTGACATTTTAAATAAATTGTTCACAACTTTCATGAGTCCAAAATTGAAATATGCAGCAGTTGTATGGTGCCCATATCCCAAGAAGTACATCAATAAACTGGAAAAGGTGCAAAGACGTGCTACTAAGTGGCTAAAGGTGTTAAATAGATGCCAAAGCTAGAAGATTGAAAAAAAAGAAGCAATATCACCTTACCTTGAGGTGCTTCCGGGGCTTAGCGTCCCCGCGGCCCGGTTGTCGACCAGGCCTCCAAACATTATTGCCAACAGCATTTGGTGTTCCCAGGCGGTCACCCATCCAAGTACTAACCAAACCCAACGTTGCTTAACTTCGCTGATCGGACGAGAAGTGGTGTTTTCAACGTGGTATGGTCGTTGGCGACCATCACTACTGTACATTCAAAATAATAACAGGAATCGACAAAATTGATAGAGGAATTCTTGAAACCTGCAACTTCATATATTTATTTATTTATTTATTTTATTTATATATTTATTTATTTTATTTATTTATTTATATACAAGAAGGTACATTGGGATTAACAGAGAACATAGAAATTGAGTTGATTTTACATTCTTGTAAAGCCACTAGCACGCATAGCATTTTGGGCAAATCCTTAACTTAACAGATAATTTTAGACAATTCACAGCAAAATTGACAAAAAATGTTTACAGGTACTTTACAGCTTTACTATACAGGTGCAGATAATTTTAAGTAGAATAATTACAGCAAATCGTCAAAAATGTTTACAGGAACATTGCAAGAACTTTTGACACAAAAACAAATTAGAATAATAAACAATAATAGCAATACACAACAATGAAAGGATTACTAGGTACATTAGGACAACATTCCAGGATTATACATTGGTTCATTGAAGCAAAATATGAGGATCATTTCAAGGAATAAGGCAGCAGGATATGTACTCAATACAACAACCATGATATCAGATGATATCCAAGATTACAATGGTAAAGCAACATGGCTTAGGCATAAATATTGGGAGATACATAGATACATGGTATCTATGAAGGGTTCCCAAGTTTGGAGCTACGGGGAAGGGGGGCATGAGAAAAGGGTGTTTCATTACATTTAGTGCTTGAATTTTTGTTTAATTACAAAGTTGTTTTCTACAAATCAGTAAAAACATTTTATCTAGTTAAGAGATGTTGCAGCCTTACAAAATTACCATATACATTAAAAAACTAGTCACATAAATTTCTAATTTTGCTTGGATATTATAACAATTTTGTTTCATATTACTATTTTTCCATCTTTTATTAATCCCATTTTCTTTCATACAAAACTTTGTTCACTTCTTTCATGTAAATCTGAGGCTACTGTGCTGAAGTGGTGATGTAATATCACACTGCATTCTAACAAATGAACCTAAACTGAATATATCTTGGTAGAAATATGCCTTCCTCATTAGATAATAATATTGTATAACCTTTTCTTTTCTTGGTAGAAGTTTTCCTTCCTCACTTGGCAATAATACAGTACTGTATAAAGAAGAGGAACTTCTCTGTGAAATATCCTCTTGGAAATTTTAATTACAACAATTTTTACTTCTTATGATTCGAACAAAGTTAATATTTTGTTTGTTTTGCAGATGTTGGTGCCGTTATCCTGGCATTTGGGTAAAGCAGCTGGTAATGCCCAGCAGACTTTCACCGCTACGACTGACAGCAAATTAACCGTGGCTTCCCGCCACACCCTCTTGTACTGTCTTCTTCTCTTTGAGTGAAAGTTATTGTAAATATTCTTAATTTTTTTTTGTATCTGTTAAGATGCCTATTCATGTCTCTGACTACACTTGGCAACAAACCCATGACAAAATCATTTTGTCACTTGATCTTCATCACACAAGTCCTAAGAATGTGGACATAGTGACAACCAACTCCTACCTCAAGGTATGCTACATTTCATATTTTTTACACCAATTTGGATCTTTGGTTAATATGTCATATCAAAAAACTTTGAATTAAACTAAAATAACTGGGATGATCATTGTTTTAATTTGTATTAATGTAATAAATATTATTTGTTGACCAAACCACAAACTAGAAATTGAACAACCATTATCAAGTCGATTGTGATAATGTGATACACAGTCGATTGTGATACGCAGTCGACTTGATAATGGTCCAGGACGGACCAAAACATCGTTGTCTCCTCAATTTCTAGTGTGTGTGGTTTGGTCAACATTTTTCAGCCACGTATTGTGACTTTTCATCTGCATAAATATTATTTCTGAACTAGGCACTCTACCAGTGCAAAAGTACTGTACAATATTCCATAGTACTGTACCTAAAAGGCTCTTAATAGAATTTATGCAACTTGAAAGTGCTGCCAATTTTAAATTACTGTACAGTATTTGTAATACAGTACTTTGATTACTTTTTCCTTTGCAGGTGAGTTTTTTGCCATATATATTTGAAGCATTTTTGTGCCATATGATAAATGCAGACCAGAGTACAGCTAGAATAGCGAAGGGCCGGGTTGAATTTGATCTGGCTAAGGAAAACAAGGTGCACTGGAGTAATTTCTGCCTGAAGCTTAACCGAGAAGAGATGCAAATCAAAAGGCAAGAAGCTATCAAGGATGTTGAAGAGAAACAAAAGAAAAAGGAAGAACTAAGAAAAGGTATGGAAATGAAGACTAAAATATACATACATACATACATTATATATATATATATATATATATATATATATATATATATATATATATATATATATATATATATATATATATATATATATATATATATATATATATATATATATATATTTATTTATTTATTTATTTATTTATTTAGTATTGTACTAATATTTTAATCTTTGGTATTAATATTCAATTTCTGAGGGGGGGGGGAGCCCCTACGGCTCCCTGGAGCTTACTAGGCTGATATGCTAATGTCAGACTTTGGTATCAGTCATGTATATGAACCACGAGCCAGAACTTGGCCCCCCCCTCAGAGAGGCATAGGGAGCAATGGCCTATAGAAGCATCCCAAAACAAACCCCCTATTCTGGTAAAAATTTTGCTACCAAAAGCCGAACAAGTGGATAGAACTTCCCTAAAAGAAACAAGCAAACGAGCATGACGTCACACGTTGTCGCGCCGCTGTCTGCGCAGCTTCCCCCTCCCTGGGAGGGGAGAGGGGGAGCCCCAGATCCCCACGCTGGCAATCCACCCTTTAGTTCTCAGGCTGATGCTAGAAGTGGAGGTCGTGTGCTTGGCTCCAGAGTTTCCAGCACTATGCTTTGAGTGTGGTGGCTGTCTTCCAGGGGTGCTAGAGCCAGTAGTTATTCTACAGTACTCGGGCTGCATGCGCCTAGGGTTATCGTCCCTAGGTGCCCTGTAAGTACTGCCCTTGGAGCTTGGGGCCACCTTCCACAAGTTCCTCGGAGCCTGCCTCTGCTGGGCCTTATTACAGCTCAGTTTTTCGACCACCCTTTGGGTGCGTGGTGGTTTTGTCTTCCTTGTTTACCTTAGAGTAAGAGGCAGTTTGCACTGGTGCGGGGCACAGGGTACTGCGCAGCTTGTTTTCATCATTCACAGTGACCGGCTCTGTTCCTTGGGGGTGCGTTGTCCACTTGCGGGGTTTTTTTCTTTGTGTTTTTGCCTTGTGGAGGAGGGGGGGTCTGCCTTGTATGCCCCTTTGTGCTTGACCTGTGCACTTTTTTTCCTGGTGGTACCCCCCTGCTAGGTCCCCATGAGTGTACATGTCCCTGGGGTTCAGCTTTTAGAAAGTTGCTTGGTATTTGTGGGTGCTGGTTAGCAGTACCCTGCCTTGGATTACCTGGGCATGAGTTCTTAAACACTCAGGACCCTGGGAAACCCCTAGGGGACACGTGGTTCCGATGGATGTGTCCCCAGACTCCCCCCCTCACTTTGTGCGAGTTCGAGGGTTGCTCGGTCCCCTTGACTCAGGGTGACCCTCACACTTTTTGTCTCCGTCACGCTGCCTGTTGGGTCGGTGACACTTTCGACCCGGAGTCCTGCGAGTTTTGTTGCTTGCTGGTGACTCGGTTTACCCAATCTCATGATGATATTCTACAGGTACAGGTGACGCAGGTGTTGCATGTGTGCTTTAGGTTGTTGTAACACGCTAGGTTGGTTGCTCACCCAGATGCCCTAAGGCTGCCCCATTTTGCCTATAGGGACCCGAACTTGAAGGTGGGGGTTACTTCGACCTTGGTTCAGTCTGCGCCCCCTCGTCCTTTTCCTGTTGTGGTTCGTTCTGGTATCCCTCCCTTCCCCCTACATCTGGCTCTGAAGCGTCTGAGGGTTTCGGAGTTGGGGCAGGGTTTAGATGGTTTTGAGTCTCGAGCAGTCTCAGGGGATGCCCCTTCTGGTGTGGCGACGGAGGCATTCGAGTCTGATCTCCCTGCCGAGGCCTCTGGGTCTGACCAGTGGGCTCCCTTCTGTTTGGCTTACTTTGCTGCTCCAGCTTTTTCTTTAGGGGCCGGTGCTCTGGGGGATGACTCGGCCCCGGGTCCCAAGGAGGGGGATCCTGGGGCTGGGGAGGGACTGACATGGGGGGCCTTGGGCCCCGCTGGACCCCGCCTGGGTTTTTCTACCCTTGGAGCGAGGCTTATTGTTGCAAGGGGTGGGGTTCTCTTTTCCCCCCCTCTGTGTACAAGTTGGATTTGGTGTCTGCCCCTCCCCGGGTTCGGTTCCGGGTTCCCTCGGGTGCGTCAGTTCAGTCTTTCCGGAAGTTTTCGGCTTCTCGCATCCAACTGTCTGCGGTGCAGGCGGCCCTGGCGGCTTACCTCCTGCGTGACCTGGATTATGCCATGGTGATGGATCCGTCGTCTTTCAGGCTTTGGACTTCGTTCTCTTTCTGAGTTCGTTACGAGGTTCCGGAGTCGTCCTGGCTGGCGGACTGTCCTGTATTCGCTTTGGAGGCTTAGCATTCGTTCTGTCGTTCCCGCACGCTTGAGTGGTGCGAGGCTTCGACGGTGGTTCAGGTTTAACTGGGGGGGCGACCTTGAGCATCTCAATGAGTATTTGTTTGCTCCTGCTCTTCTCCGGGATGTTGGCGCTCTGCAGCTCCATGTGCACATTCCCTCCCTTTCGGCTGTGCTGGTGGCTGAGGATTTGCGCGCCCGGGGCCTCTTCCAGGGTCTGGTGCCTTGGGCTTGGCTGCTCGCGCGTCGGCTGCCTTGTTGAAACTCTTTGCACCAATCTTGCAGGATGAAGTTTCACTGTTTTATGCTTCCCGGCTTGCATGTTGGCAGGCGGTGCTTGAATCCTCTCAGGAATCTGCCTGGGCCCTGGCTCTTAGGATGTCTTCGCCTTTTTGTCCTCTACTTTTTGTACCTTTGGCCATGGCGCAGTATATTCAGGCTGCTTCAGCCAGTTGCCGCCCTATGTCAGACTTGTTGGTTCTCCGGGGGTCCCGGGGTAGGGGGCTTTCCCGGAGGGGTTGTGCCAGGGCTCGGGGTTCCGCTCGTCGTGGTGGGCCACGGGTGCCAATTTCGGGTTCACCTCCACCTTTGGACCCACCTTCGTCTAGTCGGCGCGGTGTTCGCGCTGTGCGAGGCTCTGGGTCTCATATCGTCTCTGGGTCACCGCGTATTAAATCAATTGATAATCAATCATGTTAAATTAATACACTGATATCCCAAGGATAATTGAACGCAAGTACACTGACTGCACAAGTTACTGAACGCAAAGTTACACTGACGTCTCGAGATACTGAACACAAGTTAAGCTGACTTCTCAAGATACTGAATACAAGGTTTTAACTGAACACTGAATGTACCGACGCCTCAAGTTAATGGACACGAAGTTAACGAACTTCTCAAGATATTGAACACAGTTACAGTTCAGTTACATCTTAAGATTAACTGAAAGCAAGTATGCTGACGACACTGAGGCACCACCACATTGTAATAATATTGTACACATCAATACGGGTCACTGGGACCACCAATAATGTACTAAACCAAAGTACACCAGGTCACAGAGACCACCTACAATAGTAAACACAACACACCACACTGACACACTCACTTGTCAATAAATCAATAATAAACACAGTAAAATAATCTTACTTGTAATTACAGCATGTTCCCTGGAAATACAGACAGAACAGCATGGAAATGGATTAACACACAGTGATGGTATATATTGAATCCACACTAAACACAAATAAACACAGTAAAATACACACTCACAAAGACAACTAAATGTGTAAAACTGAATGTGTAAGATGACAATCACACTGAAGATCTGGCTACGGTATTCACACAGAAAAGTTGTAGCAGGTCTTTACCTATCGTGCTTCCTCGGGGAATCGAACTCAGTCTCGTAGGGGAACTAGTGAGAATGAATACCGGACGGCTGAAATATATTCAACACAAGGAATTTTGCACTTATGAAAGATACAGAGAAAATAAGGTTTGAGTACTCACGTTAATTTATACCAGTATGACACACCCACAAGCAATCAATCATACTCACTAGCCCAAGCTGTTGACTGAAGCACAAACCAGGGACGACGGAGTGAAATGGAGCTGAGGTGGGACACGGACGCTCAGAGGTAGCGAGGGCGGCAGGCAAGGTGAGGCATGAGCCCTTACCCCTAGGGCAGGTTGGCTGATGAGATGGCCGTGCACTTGTCACTAAGGTTGAGAATGGCTGGACTCTCACACCAATAAAATGGGAGTGTGCGCGCTCACTATAAACACCAGTTTTAAGCACAAGCGTGATATATTGCTGAAGGCTGAATGAAAGCATGCTGGCATAGATGAATATATGTATGTATATATATATATGGGGGGGGGGGGTGCCAAGAGGGACGCCGGGAACACAATGGCGAGGACGGGAAATAATTAAAGTCCACGCTTACAATATCGAAGATTTACACACGATCTTCACTCAAACACATAGAATCGCTTCCTGATTCTTATTTCTCACTATTACTGAGCAATAAAATGACGGATTGCTCTTGGTGAAGCCAATGATCTGCGATCACTTTGAAACAGTCCAGTTGCACCTGCGGGTAGCACAGATAATGGCTATGACTTCACATATCTTCCTTTTCTTTACCACTAGCAGCATTCCTTCGCAGCAGGATTCTGCAACTGCAACAGGAAACGGCATAGGGTCGATTTAGGCTGGCTGGAGGTTGATATGAACGGGAAAACAAAGGTTGTGGCCAGGACCTGATCTCCCACGTTGTGACAGCACAGCTCCTCAACACAGAATATCTGCCTAAGGCAGGAAATCTTGGGGCTGTGGCTCTCCTAGTGCCAGGCACTCAACCAATCAGGTTCGAACATCGGCGGAGGCCTCGTGCTGCTACCAATGAGAGGAAAGCCAGCAGGAAACACTGATGATGTCATGTCACCGGCAAAGGGAAGCCGTTGGTCTATAAAATGGTCCTGCTAGCTTCCTCTCTCTCTCTCCTCTCTGTTGCCAGGGGCCAGAGTTACAGAATTCAGGGAAAACCTGTAACTATTCACACAGAATACTTACGACAACGAGAGTTACTTCTTTGGAATGCTGAAGGCATCCCCATTCGAAGGAGATGTGACTTCACCCCTCTATCTCCACTACCAAAGAAGATAGACTTTTGTGCACACCCTGTGCACATCTCCAAAATTTTCTGAGGCAAAATCCTATTTTCTCCTACTACCTAATAGATGTAAGCTAGCTGAGAAGTGGGCCAAAATCCATCTTCTCACATAAAGTTGCCTAGGTAACAGAAGTAGTATCTTCCAACCCACACAGTTTCTGTAAAGCAAGCCCTTGACTGGTCACAACTTGAGCAGTAGCCATGATTGGAAGATGCTTGCTTCCATATGAGATCCACTTAAACAATGTAGAATGGAGTTAAACTAGTACTAGTAATTGCTTTTTCTCATGTATACTCTCAAATGCACAATCATCATGGACATTGGTGATAAATAATACAGAAATGATGCTATACAGCAAGATCCTATAGCTAAAGGTGGAGCAAGCTGTCTATGGGTATTGATGAAGGCTGCACATGGAAAAGCTGCACAAGTCTTTTCACTGCCTTGATGCAGTTGCTCAAATAACCTTTGGCTGATCTATATAGGTGATGGTGCCTTGGATGCGGTAGTCGTAACCAGGTGTTTGTTGCTCAGTAGCATTAGACCCCACTGGAACGACAACTTCTCATCTTTAACATGTATAAACACAGTTTAGCAATGGTAAGCATGATATTGCCTCTAATATGCATACATATTTGATGCAATATCTTGTTTATTATGTTCCATTTCAGGAGCATCATGCATGGAGGTAAATTTATCTCATCACATATACTTAAGCGTGAGAGCTTAGTGAATCATAAAATTACTGTACAAACAAACTATACTTGACCAAATAGCTTCAGAATCTGGTTTCAATGCTGCAGTTTTGTGGTTTAAACATGGAATATTGTTCTTTGAAAATGTTTTGAATAGTTTGTTTAGAATTAGTTATACTATATTTAGATTATGTTTTTCAGGCCAAATAATAAAAAAAGTTTTTTCACTCCTAGAGGAGCGTACTCTCCGTGAAAGATTTGCTGTGGCCCAGCAGATTTCAGAAGATGATAAGACAAGAGAAGAGCGTAACAAATTAATTGAAAAAGAGAAAATAGAGTTCTTTAGTCAGTCCATTAAAAACAACCCTCAGAAGGATGAAGCACAAGGTGGGTTACAATTCTTATGAATGCATGTTTGGAAAATAAAAATAGAAGCAGAAAGAATTCACTTTAAAAAAGGATTACAAAAAATACATATGCTGTATTTGGCCATGTTTAAGGTACACATTTTTAGCCTAAAAAAATGAAAATCAACACTTGAACCTTTCAGCCCATTGGTACATTCCTGACCATAAAATGTTCCTCCCATCTCAGGGTCCCACTCAATGACTCCTAAAATGTTTATACTCTTAGCATTTTCTCAGATAATTGTTGGGTTATTCCTATAAACTTGATGTCAAAATGTTTGCAAATGAATGTGCTAAAGTATAGATGTAAAAAAATATAAGTTAATAATAAAATTTGCATGGCAGTGTTAAATACAGTATATGAATTTTTATGAGCATTTCAACATCTTTCATATATTTCTCAGCATTCTCATTTATTTTTTAATAAAAAAATAAAATTACGGAAATGTGCCACACAGTTATCAGACTATGTTGCTGTTAAAAGAAATCAAACATAACTTACATATTTTTCCAGTGTGTAATTTGCAAAATGGTGAAACTTCTCACAGGCAAAACAGCTATCATCATGAGGTATATAGTTGGCTGAGGTGATCTCTGAATGGTCCCCTGATATGTTGATTGGTCTTCTGATAAGCTATACCCACACTGCTCAAAAAAAAGAAAGTTTTGAATGTTATGAAATGGATCTTTCTGGATAAGCCTCTGTGGCTTCCGTGAAGCTATTATGCTGAGATGGCTCCCAACTACTAGCTCATATCAGCCATGGCGTTTTGTTTAGCCTTCCGGGGACCTCTCACAGGTGCAGAGAGCGGGTAACTTTCTGCCACTTCACGAAGAAAGCATCCAGGAAGTCTGTGAATCATTACAGAGTCGGTGAATCATTACAGAGTCGGTGAATCATTACAGAGTCGGTGAATCATTACAGACCACTGCTAGGTTTAGAGAGACTGAACCCTCATGAGTGCCAAATGAACTCTCCAAGCAATATAAACAAATGATTGAATCAGTTAAAACTAGCACAATTCTTTGGGACTAACTCCCAATTAAAACTTTATATAAACTGCATATATAATATAGTGGAGGTAGAGGAATATAGGAATATAATGATTTAAGGAAAATGAAAGAATACACTTTGTGAAAGTCAGATACCTAGAAATAATACTGTCAGATAATCTGAAGTTTAAAGAACACAGTAAAACAAGCATATCAGCCAAGATGATGAGTATTCCCCTTCCTCTTACTAATGGAAAATACTGCAAGTTCAGTTTACAAACCTGCATAATAAAATTACAATTTACTGTAGTTAGAGATGTGGCAAGAAGTGTGTAAATACAGTGAATGTTAGGGGTGCCTTAAGCACAGTTACACAATTACATAATCACAATTACAGAATACAGGTACAGGTATACTATGTAAGTACGAAAAGTCCATGACTCTTGTACTGGAATAAAACATTGAAGCTTTTAAGTGATAACTTGACAAATAGCTTCTGAAGTGTCAGGATGACCCCTGGGTGTGATAACACTGAAGGTTACAAATGGCTTCACCAACCGTGTAACCACATGGGGAAGCCTTTACCCAGGCCGGAATGCAGAGTATAAAAACAAATAAACTCCTCTACAGTAAACCACAGGTAAACTTTAGGCAAGTATAGTACTACTGTACATGGGTGACAGTGTGCAATAATGTAGAATTAAATGGTGGTGGTGTTTATTATCCACCACCACTAAAATGATCACAAACAAATATTGCACAGTCAGGAAATGTATTTGTTATTTTTTCATTAATAAATTATCGATTTCTTGTGTTTGTTTATCGGTACTGTGTAATAGTAAAATGCCTGGATAGGTTCACAGTCAAAATATTCATAGTAAGAATGAGGCAGACTTTAGTGGTGGCATCTCATTAAATGTTTAGTGTCTGACTCTGGTGTTAGACTGCCCTTAACTGTCCATTTCACTATTTTTTTAGAAATATTATGCAATAACTTCTGATATAAATATATAAATTTTGTCTACTATATTTGTAATAAAAAATGCCCGGCTGTGTTCCAATTAGTAATATTCATGCTAAAATTAATTTAGGGACCAAGGTTATAAATGCACAGGACAGATTTCTGAATAATCACTTTTTTTTTTTTTCTAGATACGGCAAAACCTGATCTTCGTCATCGAGTAAGTAGCACCTGCTCAGAAGATGGCGCATGTATTGTGCAGGAGGTGGATTATGATGGTGATGGCGAGGACAGCCTTTATTATTCGTCAACAGAGAATCTTCATCTGAAGGTAAATTTCATAGGAAATGTAGTGTCTTTGATCTCAATATACATTTAATGCAGCCTAAAATGTTTATAGTTTTTAAAATACATTTTTTATTGGTTATGTGACTTGTGCACAAGGTTTTTATCTCCTTGGCTAGGTTCCCAGTAAGGATAAAATTTTCAACCCTTAAGTTTTAGCTATCTTCCACACTACATTAGATATTTGTAATGCAATTAGGATTTTACAAGATGTCAAGAACATAATGTTCCAAAATAATTTATCCACTTGGATACCTTAGGGTACCTATCTTTATCTATTGCTCAGAAAGCAGCTTTTCATACTCCAATCCACCGAAGCCCTTGATATCAGCCTAAGTAAAACCATGGCCAGGGAAAGACAATGGGGCACTGATCCTTAACTGTTCACTTATGTTCACTCAGATGTAATTGGGGACTGGTTGTAAACAATTTGCCAATTGTATTATGAGAAAAACTAGTTGGGCAAGTCAACAGAGGCGCTCAAAGTCTGCTAACTGAAGCCATAAATCATCTGCTTCTGAGTTAAAAAAAAAAAAGAAAAAAAGTAGCTTGCTTTGCAGGAAGCCTTCTGTTGTTTATCTTTGCAACCAATCACAGTGATCTTATTACCAACACAGGGTTCTTCCATTGTATGTAGATTTTCAGTAGTTCAATTCAAGCTGGAATCTGCTGTGCTGTATAATACTCAAATTGAAAAGGCAAATAGTAATTCTCATATAATGGTAATTGCCTTAAATCTTTTTGTTTGCTCAGCCATTAAGCTTAAGATTTCCAATGCTTTCTATGTGAGTACAGTATATGTAAATAATCTTTCAGATTGGTAAAGTGAAGATTGATAACACTGAGAATGTAAATCGAAAGCAGCGTAAATCTAGCTCAATTCGCAAGGCAGAATTCAAAGACAAGGAAGGGAAAAAGAAAGACGATAGGAAAAAAGTTCCTGTTATGCCACCGGTACGACAAAATTGCACTATTAAAGTGAAGTACACACCCAGAGTCTTTCCAAGTCCAAGCCGAGAGTCGACTCAAGCAGAAGAACAACAGGTAAAAACAATTGTATAGTGAGTAATGATAGTTTCTGAAGATAAATTGGAGAGAGAGAGAAAGTGAGCACTGTACAGTATTAGGAAGAGAGCATGTTTTACTACTGAACTAACTTTAGGAAATCTACAAGATTATTTACATAAAGGGATTATATGTATTTGGAAACCTAAAATTTCCTATTTAGTTAAGATAAGTTTAGTTTGTTATTCAATAGCCTTGAGCTATATAGCCATATGTACCTGGTTTCACCAGCTGGATTTGGATAGAGATTTCACAAGTAGTTGCCATATCTTCTTGAGCTGTCTATTTTACATGGTATTTAAATCTAAACAAATAATGATGCAGTTTTAACATTGCTGCATATCTGAATATGATTAAACAAGCAGTTTGAGGTTTAATTATTCCTAAGCTTGATTCCTTTAGGTAATCATTATTACTTTAGGTAAGACTTTTATCCAAAAGAAAATGTCAGTGCAATTAGTATAAGAACTATAAAAGCATTAGTATACTGTACTATGTTATAGGTAAAAGTGCATGGTAGAATAGTAATTGGAAGATAACAAAATAATTGAGAAATTAGTAATGGGGTGGTTTCTGTAGTGAAAGAGGGTGCATGCATTGGGTATTTATTTTGAGCCAGCTAGTGGGGTATGCATGTTAGAAAGATTACAAGGCTTACAAGTCATTTATGGACTTGCAGAAAGCATATAGTTATGTGAAGAGTGATGGGTCTTTTGAAAGTACTGAGCATACATGAAGTTGTTGGAGTTTCATTAAATGTTTTGAAGAGCATTTATGCAGGAATTTAGAGTAAGTTCTTGTCTAATTATGCCTGTGGGTCTTGAGCTTCAGCTTTTTGTTTTGCCCTCTTGACCTTCAATTGACTGGTTTTCAGGTTTTGATTTGTACAGGTTTTCAAGTCTACATTTGAAGTTGTGTATGGAGTCTGCCTCTACCACTTTACTTCTTAGTAGAGCATTCCATTTGTTTATTAGCCTAGTTTGACACTGAAAAAATGATGTCAAATGATTCTGGGATTCATTTGGGTATTGTACTTAGTTCCCACCTATGTTCTCTTGTTTATCACACATTCCAAATACTGCACTTGCTTGCTATGTCAATTTGCCCCTTAAGGATTTATGTACAGTATATGATAATGATGTCTCTCCTGATTTCTATCTTCTAGTTACATGAGGAATAATTTCTTTAATCTTCTGTTGTGACTCAGATAAGAGTAAGGAATGAAAACATTGTAGAAAGATGTAAAGTTCAATCACTAAATCTTAAGAATAAGGAGAGTTTACTGATGTTTCAATCATATTAAATGAATGAAGTGAACTCCCCCCTTCTGGGGGAGGGGGGGGGCAGACAAATCCTGTTTTCTTGCTTTTTATCTTGGTGGATCCAAACCCACAACTGGTGTGAACTTCCATCATTCATCCAGCTGAGGGCTACGAATCTTCGTGGGTGCGCTGAGTGATGGGATGTTATCACTCGCTCCGATACCTTGACTCCACTGTTTAGTCTAGTCATAACACACAAACATCGTGCAGCTGGGTCAAGCCCGGGAACTTTATCTCATTATACAAACTTTTCCTCTTCTCCTATCCCCACTTTCCCGCTCACTCCATGGGTATCTTGTCCTATACAATGGTACCTTCGTTTACAAATTTAATCCATTCCAAGAGACGGTTCGTAAAGCGAAAATTCATAAGCCGAAACTAAACTAATGCACTTACTGCATTTGAAGATGCAGTAAGTGGAGAGAAAGGTAAAAAAGATGACTAAAAATAGGAGGGGACTGTGTTAAAGTGAGGATTAAGTATGAACAGCCCATGAATGAGTAGTAGTGGCAGGGATGAAGGCTAAATGGAATCAGTCTGATAAAGGGTAACTGAATATTTTATATACAGTACAGTATATTAAAATGACATGTCATTAAAGCATTTTACATTTAGTTGTATAAAGTGATGGAATGGGGCTGTTGATGTTTTGCTGGAGTGTGATTATTCTGATTTCTTTCCGGCTGCTGTTTCTCAATCCATTGAAGGTGGTAAACTGGGTAATGATAATACCAGTTTACCATAGAATAGAATGAACTAGGGCTTCTAAGAGGCTTTACTGTATTTATAAACAATCATATTTGTTTACCGAGATGTTTTAGGCATGTTGAACCAATTCATGATTGGCTGGTGAAGAGAATGTATTTGAGGGTAGGAGGAAGAACGGGAAGATAGGCAGACATGACAAACAAGTGTATGAGGAAGTCATGCCCAAATGTCTGTTTACTGGACATGACTTCCCACCAAAGCAAGTGTAGCCAACACACTTATAGTATATAAGTGGTCCCCAACAATATAGTAAGGGACATGACTGGGTGGAAGCAATGTGTTAATATGAAGCGAATGTATTTGTAATGTACAGTATATGTAATACAGTACACAGAATTCTGTATGCCTAGTCATATGAAAAGGTTGTATGTTACTGTGGATGATGGCTGGAGTGTTGTAGGTGCTTGTTTAATCATGATGTCCTATATTACGAATGATGTAATGAATAGATAAGTAATATTTAATGCTTATATTTTGTAATATCTATATGCTTTTTCTATGTTATTTGCCTTCTTTCCCTGAGGTGATGCCTTCCAACCATGTCAAAGGGGGGAAATGGTAATAATAAGACCTTGTGCATCTTTATCTTGAGGATGCATGATAGATATTAAGATTCATTTATGCCTTAACCTTATTATGGTGATTTGCTTGCAGTGGCTCATGTCTCAGTCAAGCAATTCGTCCTCTGCAGAGGATGGCAACTCTGAACGCAATGAGGAATACTACAAGAATAAAGCAGTGTAAGTCTACATCTATATTACTTGAAAACAAAGTGATAACAAATTATTTTTTAAAATATAAATACAGTACAGTATTTATCATGTGTTTGCCACCACTGAGACATGGCAATTTTTTCTAATTGCCCAAGTTTAATTCTCTAAGTGTAGTTACAGGATGAGAGCTACACTCGTGGTAGTCCATCTTCCAGTACTCTGTCATATAATGCTTTGAAACTACTGATGGTTTTGGCATCCACTGCATTCTTGCCTAACTAATTCCAACCATCTATTAATGTTTACAAAAGAGAACATTGCAATATATTTTTGGCACTTTTGTTTTCTTAACTTGAATCTTTGATCTCTTGTTCCTGAAGTTGCAAGTTTCGAGAATTCCTCTTCATCAGTTTTGACAATTCCTGTTATTTGTACATAGTGATCATATCGCCTCTTTTTGTTCTATCTTCTAGCTTTTAAATATTTAACTTCTAGCCTTTCCTCATAGCTCTTTGTTTTTCACTTCTGGAAGCTCTTAAGTAGTATATCTTTGCACATTTTAAGTTTATTGATGTGATTCTTAAAATATGGGCACCATACAACTGCTGCATATTCCAATTTTGGTGTCAATGGTTATGAACAATTGCTTTAATATTTCACCATCTATATATTTAAAATCAATTCTGGAGTTGGAAAGGATTGCATCGGCTCCTCACACAATGTCCTTTATGTGGTCCTCTGGTGACAATTTTCTATCCAAAATCACACTCAGATCTCTCTTTGTTCAAGTTCTTAAATGCCTTTTCTCATAATTTGTAGGTGGTGTGTGGCCTATTTTCTTCTATTCCACAATGTAGTATTTATTCATGTTGAATTGCATCTGCCAAGTGTTGCGGTATACACTTTTCCAGATCATCTTGAAGGGCATGTCATTTGTATAAGTCTCTTATCTTCCCTAGTAGCTTAGCATCATCAGCAAAAGTGTTCATATAATTTTGTATTCCCTCTGGTAGGTCATTTATATAGACGATGAACATTACTGGTGTTAGAATTGAATCTTATGGTACTCCACTAGTAAAAATTTTCAATCTGATATATTTTCTCTGATCATCACCCTCATTTTTCAGTCAAAAGTTTTCATCTATGTCAAAAGTTTTCTGTCGCCCCTCTAGCTTTCCTGCTTTCAGAACAACTTTTTGTGTGGGACTCTGTCAAAAGCCTTTTTTTCTTCTTTTAGACAGAGATAAATGCAGACATCCCAAACATCTCTCATTCTTTAAGACCTCTGTAGCTCTATCATAAAAGCTAAGTACATTTGTTACACAGGATCTCCTTGTCCAAAAGCCATACTGTTTATTTGTTATTTTGTCATTTCTCTCCAGGTGTTCTACTCACTTAGTTTTAATAATTTTTTCTAGTGATATGACAACCTAGCTTGTCAGCAATACAGGTATATAATTTATAGGGTGTTCTCTGTTTCCATTTTCTGGGGAAGCCATCTCATCTCCACAAAGTGATATATAGGGTAGTGATAACCAACTTAATTTTTCAGATCTCTGTTTGGCAATGGAGATTACAGTGGGTGTGTCAATGCATGCACAGAAGCACTGAAAATAAATCCGACCATGCCTTCACTGTATAGTAATCGAGCAGCTGGTAATTTGGCACTTGATAACTTGCACCACACTGTCAATGATTGCACAAAGGTTAGTACCTGTTGTCACCTAAATTGCATATTTCAAAGATGATTAACTGAAGTGAATGTTGAATGGTGTGTGTTGCCAAACTAAATTGGTATCTTACGAATATTTTCATAAGAGAGAGCTAGTTTAAATCTCTCCTAAAGAGAATCAAACATCTACCACTTTCTACTGTATATTTTATATATTTAGGCTTGGTTGTTATTTTTTGTTACCTCATACCTTGTATCTTCTTTAGATTTTGCCACGTTGGCTTCAGCTTGGTTAAATTCCTTCTTCTATTTGCCAACCTTCATAAAACTCTTCTTGTATTTTTAATGTATTGTACTGTACATTGTACAGTACTGTACCTCCCGGGGTAGGACTGGGAGCCCTCTGGGGATTACCACACAACAACACACAACTCAAATATTATAATATCATTATTATTATTATAATATTAATATTGTAATAATATATAATTATTATTATTTTAATATATTAATATGTATATTATTATAATATAATTATTATTATATGTTATTATAATATAATTATTATTATATATTATTATAAAATAATTATTATTTATTATTACAATATTAATATTATAATAATAATAATGATGATGATATAATATTTGAGTTGTGTGTTGTTGTGTGTGGTAGTTCATGGAGGACTCCTAGCCCTCCCCCGGGAGATTCTGCAGGGCCCTCGGCAAGGCTACCAGCCTGTTGCAGTAGGAGTACCAGAGGCGGTCCTTCAGGTCTTCGTCCTCATGCATGAGGTGCCTTACAAGCAGCTGCTCCGGGTAGATGGGACTCGACAGCTGGGAAGGCAGCTAATCTAGGGAAAGGAAAATCCTGATCTCAAACCTTTGGTGCCTTGCGACCATACCCACTTTTAGGACTAGCTTCAGGAGTCAACCTCGAGGAAAATCCAAAGCTGGAGCCCCTAAGGCAGTTTCTTGTTGACTTCAACCTCATTCTGGCAGCTCCTGCAATGGCGCTGGAACCAAGCGTATTGCCATATGCCTTTCCATTGGACAATTTCAGCAACGTAGAGGGGGGGGGGGGGTCCTGCTGCATGGGTAACAGCATTTCCTCCATATCGACCTACCCAGGCTTTGCGCCCTTGAGAGGACACTCCAGCCTCAGCAACCAGAGTGCAACTCCATAGTCTCCCAAGATTGCAGGATGTCTACTACTACTGTACATTAATTGCTGAGTACAAAAACATGATAAGAATATATATGCAGCCATAGTACAAGTACTCTTACGGATGTGGTGAGATAAGTATGCTACATGCGTGAACAATCAAGAATTACAGCAGTAGAAATTGAATTCCAGATGTATATGTGATTGATGTTAACAAAATAGATGAATTAAAATGTCATGGAAATAGGTTGAATGAAAGTGTAGGCAAACAATATTGAGGAGAGCATATTGAGATGGTTTGGGATCATGAATGGATGACAAAAGACTGGTAAAGTGTTTTCCAGTGAATTTAAGGGTAGGAGAAACAGGAAGGCCTGAAAGAAGATGGAGGGGCATTGAGTGAGTGTGTGAGGAAGCAGTGTATAAAGAGGGAGTGAAAATATTTGTACTGTACAAAGTATGAGAATTCACAAGGAGCACTGTAGAACCATATACTGTACTTTATGTAGTATGTGGTTTTATGAAGTAAAGTAGTGGGTGCTGCTGTGGATGACTTTTGGAGTCTAGTTGTGCCTGTTTATCCCTGATACTATAATGAGGGAACTAAGGATATTTTTTTTTGTAATGTGTAATGTTTTACAATATTTTTATTTTTAACTTTTGACTGAGGGGGACATTGCTAACTCCAACCCTTCAGTACAATATTTGCAATGAAGTAATGAATTATGAGTAATTCCTTTATTAATTAATTTATTTGGCTAAGGTTCCTCATGATATCTTGAGTGGCAAGACAAACCTTTGCAATGTTTGTCTGTCCACATAAAATATCCTCTTGAGTTAATAGCTGCTGCTTTCCTTTTCAGACTTCTTTTCCATAGTTACTATTTCTTCCTGTCTCACTTTATTTACTTCAAAGTCAGAAGATTCTTGCAGATAACACTGCCATCTTGACCTCAGCTGAGTGAGCAAAAATCTAAATAAATTTAAATGTATTATTACCAGAACTCTGCCTGCCGAAGCCCTCATCTATGATGTAAATAAAAATGCTAGCTAGATTTAATCTTTAATTTTGGTACTTGATCCTTAAGATTGAATGAGATCTCTCTCTATTTCTTTAGCTTCACTCTGTGTGTCCAGAGGCTGAGGGAAGGTATGTGTCAAGGCGATGGGTGTGTGATGGCTTGATGGTTGAAAGAGGCTGCGAGTTGTGTAAATAAAAATTATTTATGAAGGCATTGCAACTTGAGAATGAAGTGGTGATTTTAAGCTTATTTATTGGTAATAGTAGTAATGGTAGGTGCTATACTGGTACTGTTAAAGTACAGAATAAATATAATAGTGGAAATGATGAATGTTTGACCAGTTCTTTCCTATAGTGGTGTGGTGATAGGAATTCAAACTGTACATTATTTAATCTCCGAACATTAAGCTGATGGCATCCTAATCATTTTTATTTTTAAAATTTTCTGGATTTCTTGTTTTTGGATAACAGAAGTTTTCTGCACAAGTTCATTCCTGTGTATTAAGATGCATAAATTAATTGCTAATTTCTACAGGCTCTCGAGTTGCTAACTCCAATAACTGAGGACAATGGCAAGTCACGCCTTCTTTGTCATATCCGCCGAGGCACAGCATTTGTTCGTCTTGGCCTTTTATCTGAAGGTTTAGCAGATTACCAGGCAGCAAAACAGATCAGTCCAGAGAACAAAAGCCTACAAAAAGATGTGGAAAGGATACAATCTATGGTAGCAACTTGTGCAGACATGGGAGATTCAGATGGTGACAGTGGCTGTGATGATGGAGTCAAGGCATGAAGACTGCAGCTTGGGTTCTTAATTTTTTATAATAAATGTTATAAATTATATATATAAAGTGATAATGAATGCTGTGATGGCATTTGCTGCCAAAAATATAACTAGTTAATTCAAGCTATTCTCTTTATTTTATAATTTTGTAAATTGCCAGTTGTATATAAAGATCCTCTACCTCATAGGTTTTATATATCTGGAACATATTCCTGAAATGTAGTGTTATCCATGAGGCATCTCACTCTTAAAGAATATGAGTGCAGAACATACTATGACAGTGGATCTGTTAGCAGCAATACCCAAGCAAGACCTACACTTGGGTGCTTGATCTTCCATTGATGAATCCTCACTTGCCAAGTGTTAAATGTAATTTTGTAAATTTTGTCGTTATTCAAATTTAAATTGTTTAATTTCTCGTTTTCCTCTTGTGCCTTTTCCTGTATCAGGTGTACTCGAGTCAGTAGTTTCTGGGGCAGATTTGTTTATTGCTACATATTTTTACTTTTTATAGTACTGTATTCAGATATGATATTATTGGATTGCCTAGGCATTATGATATTGAAGTTGAACTATTGACTTAGTGATGAATAACATGTTCAAGTGTTAATCTCCAAACTTTATTTTATGCTTCCTATAATATTGTCAATGTCTTTTAGTAAATTTTGTTGTTACTTTCTATCTCTGGTTTTGATGCCTTGTTCCCTTAAGCTATTTTATATTTGAGGGTGGGTGTCTGCATGCTGGTACAGTATAGTCTTCCCCATATTTTCATTATGTAGCAAAAGCTTTATATACAAGATTTAATGAATGGAAATTTTTAATCCAATAATTTTTTGTATGGAGTTGTGTATAACTGTTTGCCATATTTTTTTTGGCTCGCCTAAATTATGTGTTTCTGTAAATGATAAATGAATTGTCTAAAGGAGAGAGATGCTTAGGCACAGTTATGGTAGGCCTCATGTGAAACCCCTAAGGAAGATCATTTTGAATTGACTGTCTTGTGAACACAGTAAACTGTCACCATGAACTGCAATAAGTCTGTCCTTACTCCATTCTCAACTCAATTATTGTTACTTAACCCTTAGACCGCGCAATACATAAATTATTTTATGCCAAATCATATATGTAACAAAAGTTTTTAAAACTTGCACAAACACCTTCCAATTTTTTTTTGCATACTCAACAAGGCAAATGCGCCAACTTTGTCTAAATGATCACAGCATAACCTGAAAAACAAGAGAATCAAAACTAATTTTAAAATTGAATATTGAAAACTTCAGATTTTCAATTCAGAATAAAAATTATGAACTATCACCAATTGTTCATTTAATGTTATTATTCTCTCAGAATAGCAGATGATCTTCATTTTCATCAAATTAGAATATAGGTTTTCAGTACAGTTTACTGTAAAATAAGTCGTCAATAGGGCATTTGAAATATGCAGCAAATTTAGACAAAAAAAAAATATATAACTTCAAATGTATAAAGTTTATGAAAAATCCATTCTAAAGGTATTGTAAAACAGACAGCTGAGCACACAATATGTCAAAATAGTGAGAATCGGTCAAAAACTGGAATTTTAGAAGCCACTCAAAGTTAAAACTCTAGTTTCAGAGAGAATTGAAGTTGAAGTTATCATCAATGAATAAAGGTAGTTTTAATTTGTTAATATAATTGTATGTTTTAATGAACATTGTTTGGCATTCGTACTCGAATATGTGAAAGTTGTAGGTCAGTATAAGTGAAAAAGCCCTAACATGGTCCCTAATCATCAAAACGACCTAAAGAGACAAAAAATCGTTTGAAATCAGAAAAAAATCGGGCAAAAAAAATTAAAAGCCCCAAGTTTTGCGAGTTGATTGATTTATTTGTTGACCAATTTCATTCTATCTTCACATAGTTAGGGAAACATATCCATTCTCCAGGATGTAAAGGTTACAACAAAATCAGATAAACAAAGGAGAAGAAAAAACTAAAATCCTAAAAAAAAAAAAATTGGGATATTGATGAAAGTAACATATATTAACATTGGACAAAGTATTTATATGATATATAACAAAATAGAGCATATTAACATGTTCATTATTATTTGTGTTATTATGTATTACTCAGCAATGATATAAAAGACACCAAATGCATATCCACTCTGTGGACACTTCTTACTACTATTCTTCTTTGAGCGTTGGACAGGTGCTTGCATCTCTTCATTACTGCATAATCCTTCAGTTCCAGTTATTAGGAGCTGTTCTTATCGATGAAACGTTCTTATTTAAAAAAAAATCGTCTAAAATCAATTTCTGAAAATATTTTCATGAAAGTTTCACCTCGCTGAAGCCTCCAACGAGCTACTCAATAGCTCGTTGGAGATTTGTTTAACAACTTATAAGTTATTTTTACATAATTTGAATATTTTTCGCTACCAGGTCCCTAATATGTGCGGTCTAAGGGTTAAAAATTGTCATGCACACCCATGGAAATATACATTCTATTCACCTGGGCTCTAGGAGACTTGAACCATGGACCCCATGTATGTGAGGCCATATCTCTATTGACTGAGCTATTGAGTGGTCTTAATAAGGAAGGTTTCCAGAAACAGCATCCTGCTGGCAAACTGGAATTTTTTACTTTTTCAGACTACTACTGAAGCTCAGAGGAATTAGTGATCCACGGTCACATCATATAAATTATCATCCACACTTCTGTGGAAATAAACATTCCATTCACCTGGGCTCTAGGAGACTCGAACCGCCAAAATTCCGAATCGAACCGACTGCCAAAATTCCAGTTTGGCAGCAGGATGCTGTTTCTGGAAACTTTTCTTATTAACCACGGTAATGCGCAAAGCGCTCCGAGAGTTGTGCCAATTTTTTTAATTGGACTGTATTTTAATGTTTTCATCACTCTGTGTTTTGAAATGAAAATAGTTGAGTTTGGAAACATTTTGACATTAACTTTACCTGAACATTTATAAAAACAACAAAAATATGTCCTTGACAATTGCACTATGAAGTTTTTGCCGAAACCAGGTGCGCAGTGCAATGGTTTAGAATACTCAATAGCTCGGTCAATAGAGGTACAGCCTCACAAACGTGGGGTCTGTGGTTCGAGTCTCCTAGAGCCCAGCAGAATGGAATTATTGTAACTGTACCTACTTTGGTCCTTCTCGGATCATGCTAACAATGGAAGCAAATTAAATACTGTACATACAGTAGATACACAGTCGGCTCTCTACTGAAGGGACAGAGCAAGACATTCTGGCACATTTCTTTATTCCTGCTTTTTACATCCATGTCCCCTCTTTATGCAACTTGCCTTGCACTGAATTTTTTGCATTTATTAAACTTATAAATTCCCCTTAACCTCAATGTGTGGCTATTGAAATGTGGTCATACCCACCTTTGCGCAGATAATGAAAATAACAAATATTTTTCCTTGTAGAATTATTATTTTTTATGCAAAATGTAATGAAAAACAAAATAATAAATATCACCTTTTTATTGGTTGGATGAGCAGTGAAATGTTGCATGGTAGCAATTGTCTACATTATGACAACTTTGCTAACATTTAGGTATGAGAGAACTCCAGTGTACACCATGGATATTTCTTTAATTGTTTATCAACTGTTTATATATTACTATAGTATGTGTGTTGAATAACTTTATTTATAAATGCATAATTCACAAAAACTAGGAGTGAGTACTAACCAATAAGGAAAATGTTTGTCTACAATGAATATATATGTACAGTACTTCAATAAGTTGTATACTTTATTACAACCATATAAGGTAGCTCCAGTTTATATCAACATAAATAGGAGGTGCCTATAAGTCAATAGGCCTTCTGTAGTTCCTTTTAAATATTATGTTCAAATGATGATTGGTTGACCTGGTATACTTCAATAGTCACACAGTTGTGAAAATTATTTGAACTTAATTGGTATGTATGTAAGTATTGTACGTGTATAATGGAATTTCATGTGACAATCACATTTACATAGTAATCATGAAACGATAGCATGATTTTTTCATGTTACAATAAACTAAAATGCATCCATATAGAGCATAATTCATATATTACATCCATATTAGCATCATTCATTTAAAACCCAGACAGTAATAGTTTAAATCAATAGTATGATAACTGCACTTTAAGGGTTAAAACATTGTCGTTATCACGTTATCGCTTACCAGACTACATGTTCTTCAGTTGCAAATTATGAGCAATCAGGAGCAACAAGGTCAGGATTGGCATGGTTGAGTGCATGCAGCTTACAACCAGATGTGTCAAGTAGTCTTTAATAAAAGCATTACAAAAGTGGATGGATGTATATGTAAGCGAGTGTTTAGGTGAAACCACCCACTAACCATGTGAGATTAGCCAACAATGGCCTATTAGCCAATACCTTTAACACTATCTTGTCTATGATTAAAAATCTTTAATATCATTAATGTCTTGACAGTGTTTAAGAGCCAAGATATTTGCTCACACTACCATTAACACAGCACTCGCGGTACACACCTCAGAGACTCATTCAATCATCAATATAGCAAAATTCATTCCAATGTAATAATTCTTTTTGAAGTATTTTCCTGAATGAATATGAAGTCTGAAGTACGTATATGCCTATTTTTTTTAAGTACCATATAGTGACACCTTGGCTTACGAATGTACCTCTTTACAAATTTTTCAGGTTACGAGCCCAAGTTCTTTGTAAAATCCGAATCGGGTTACAAACTTTGCCTCGGGTAACATAGTTTATTGATATGAGTATGGCCGACCTAGCACGTGGTAGCAAGGCGACCGTGCCTCAGTTTACCGTTGCCTCCCGCCTAGTGACAATCGCACCCGAATTCTTTGTAAAGAATTTCAGTGTTTCGGATTTTTGGGTATTTGAACAAAAAGTAATTATTACATATCTCGCCATGGGGTCCAAGAAAGTCGGTGGCAAAGTTCAACCTAAGAAAATAGTTTTAGTAGATGCAGTACAGAATGTCCCTCCCTCATTAAGACAATGTGTGAAGTATGGGAAGCACTGCAAAGTTTTGTTGAAAAAACTCGCCCAGTTAAAGCTGTAGCAGGCCGTTGCATTGACCTTTTAAATGACAATGTGATGTATCACTATAGACAAGTGTTAAAATGTAGGGACAAACAAGTGTCTTTAGACAGATTCTTAGTAAGACAAACAAGCAGTGAGCTACAACCAGGTCCTAGTGATACTCCAGCAAAACAGGAGTGTGTACCCCAGAGAAGTCATCACTGCCTGATGTTATAATGGAAGGGGACTCCCCTTCCAAACACTAACACCTCTCTTCCTTCCCCCCCCCCACTTTCTCACTGTCTTCCGTATGCCAACAAGAGTTATCAATAAAGGTAAGCAATAGTACTAAAGTATGTACAAGTTAAAGATTTGGGTGAATTAGGTATAAAATTTACTTTGAAGTTAATATTTTTTGGGTGTGGAACGGATGAATTCAATTTGCATTATTTCTCATGGGAAAATTCACTTCAGTTTATGAATTTTCCGGTTACGAACCGTCTCTGGGAACGGATTAAATTCGTAAACGGAGGGGCCACTGTATTGTGGTTTCTTCTTTAAACAACTAATTAATGCCTCAGCATTCAATCTAATTACAATTTTTTTTTTTACCATGTCAGGAAATTAAAAGTCATCATAATCGAGTTGTGTATTTAGCAAAGAAATAATAATTAATTGGCACTTAGGCCTATTAAGTGTACACTATGTACCTTTAGGGCAAGCCTTGTCCAAGGCATCCTCTTTAAAGCTTTAGTTATACAGCAAATGTCAGAAATAAATGGAAGTACACAAGATCTTTAAATTCGATCTAGTGAGCATAATGCAGAAAGTAGCAAAAAATTTATAAATTAAATATTAAATATGTATACTTTATTGACCATTATACGATACTTTCCCTCGCAATTTTTGTTTAGTATATCACATATATATACACTGTACAACTCGCTGTATTTTTTGCCATGTGTAAAATTAATTCAGACATGTGATAATTGCTATAA